TGAATGGGGGAGCACGTTAAATTCGACGATGTCATGTTGCTGCATGCAGTCAGTGGAAATTGTATCAACCAGCCTCACCTTTGTCCACAGCCATGTGTGATGTTAGCGCCAATTCGTTTCAATTAAGAAAGTATTTATCACCAATAATTACTTAATTCACTTCTTGTGCACGAGACTTTGTGTTGAGTGTCGCCGAGTTAATGAATTCCCCATCTATTGGTTACCTCGTCGCGACGACCGAGGCGGCGGGAAATTCACAACAACTCAGGGTGTGCAAACGTGACTTTTTATGGAGTTCCTGCGATGCGAAGCACGAGACATTCACACACTTGCTAATTGGGACTGTCATTATCGAAATTGAGACTTGTCCATAGTGGGTCCGGGTTGGATTGCGGTGTGATCCGCCCACACCGGACTAAGTAAGAGAACGGGGTCTTTCTGCACGACACGGAGATGGCAAGCAAATCATTGAGCTAATTGAAGGCTGATCTCAAGAGTGAATCAGAATCGTCTGCATTTGGCGTGTGTCCGCCCCCACACATATCAGCTGAAATAGGTGCTTATTACAAATTACTAGCTCCAATTTTATAGATCAAGTGTACTTGTATATGTAAAAGGAATAAGGAAGAATTTGTCAATTCAATCATAGGGAAGTATGGGGCCAGGATGTGATGCTTTTCTTATTCATAATGTCACATGACTTTCAATCAAATCAAGGATGAATTTTCAAATATTACACGCATCTGGTTTTGTAAACAAAGATTAAATCATTAATTTGACGAAACTCTTAACTTGCCTACCAACATTTTGAGGAAAGTTTACCCTTCTTGATGGTGGTGTTAGTTTGCTTGGACGAGCTAATAGTTGCGATAAATTGACATTTAAATCTTTGTTTAAAAAGCAGATACGTCTATTTGAAAATTCATCCTTAAAATCTAACTAATCAAGCACATCACTGTTGTGTGCTGCTACGAATGATAGATTGAAAGATTAATGATTTGGAGGTCCTCGGTATAGTTTGCTTATGAATATTGCAGCCATCGCTATTCAGCCTAAGGACTGGTTGTCCGTAGTTACTTTTATGTTATTTGCAACTTTTCTTTATTCTAAGCGAGTTACTGGGGGAGATTTCTTTCGGGTTGTACAAGCCGTGCCCTCCGATCTTTCCTATCGTTACTCGTACTTCAGCTGTAACTTTCCCGTGGTGGTAAAAGTCTATCTTATACCTACTGGTACGCGTAGTTCCAATGGTGTGCATTATTCAGCCGATTGCCAGCCAGTGGTTTATGAATATGAATTCACTATTTACATATTTATGTGACATATTTACTTCCTGGTCCGACGTTTCTCAAGATTTCACCTGCATTACAATGTTGCGCCCACAAGCACGGTTGATAAGGTTTTAAAGTTTCCTTAACAAAGAAGCCAGAACAATAACAACCACACTTCCTAGGTATTGCTCCATTTCGTCTGGTATGTGACTGGTATATATTTGTATGAATTTTCAAAATATGTTTTTGAACGATAAACTTGAAAAATTACGTTTTCCCGATTCCCAATTAAATTGTTGTCAAACAAGGTATCATATATACATGAACAAGATATTACAGAGATGAATCTGATAATCGAATCGAAAAAAATATGAATTTTGATTATCGCGTTAAATTTCACTCGTTTAATTTAGAGCTAAACGATGGGCGGAACAGGTAGAGCGTGATCTAAGGACTGTACTCGAAAAAAAAAAAACGCACCAGACAAAAGTGTTCGCCAAAAATTTATTTTAAGTCGGATTTTCTGGAAACTTTCAGGGAATGAACTAATACATATGGATTATGTTTCGGCATAATTACTTTATTCAATTTCATTTCCATCGCTGAAAGCCCACACCTTTCCCTTAAGACCCCTTATTACATTTTGTGCAATGGTGTAGTCGACCTTTTTGGTCACTTTCATCCATTCTTTCTTCAACTCCAGCTCGTTCTTAAACACCTTGGACGATTTTCGAACTTTGGCCTTCATTATGGCCCAAAATCTTTCCACCGGACGAATCTCTGGTGAATTTGGGGTTGGCGGTTTTTGGTACAAAAACAACGTTATTGTCCCTGTACCAATCCAACGTCGATCGCGCGTAATGGCATGATGTCAGGTCCGGCCAAAGCAATGTCTCGCCTCCGTGGGACCGCAGGAAGGGCAACAGAGGTTTCTGAAAGCACTCGGTGCGGTAAATTTCGCTGTTGATGGTACCCATTGTGATGTATGGTTTACTCAGTTTACCGCATTGGCATATTGGCAGAGCAAGTATTTTTTGGTGAATTTGTCCACTTTCTTCTTCCTTATGTCTTCCGGAACATCAAACCGTGATTTGGTGTAGGTTTCGTCATCCATAACCACACACATCGGTTTCGTTAACCACTCTCGATACAGCTTCCTTGCGCGGGATTTGGCCGCCGTGTTTTGTTGATCTCGCCGGTTCGGTGCCTTCCGGACCTTGAATACACGAAGCTCAGCTCGTTTCATGGTTTGCTGAACGAACCAGGCGGAACACTTTGCCTTGAGAGCCGCGTCGCGAATCGAAAGGTTCGAATTACGCTTGACAAATCCAACACCTTCCGGGTCTTCACAGGGTCAGCTGTCTTCAATTTTCTTCCACTTCCAGCCCGCCGCTCGGTCGTCTAGGACTCCTTAAACGATTTTACCACCCGAGACACAGTTGTATGGGTGGTTCCCAGGTGTCGCAGTCGGATTTTCCATGACGGCGCGCAAAATTCTCCGGCGATTTTCTTCTTTTTTCGATGACATCTCAATAACCACTGAACCGATTGTTATGAAATTTTGCACATGTAAACTAGTTATACCCAGATTTTCATCAATTTTTACCCACGGATAAAAAAAGTTACACACGGATAAAAATGGTGCATTTTTTTCGAGTACAAGCCTTAGCGAGCATTGGGTATGACCGAGGATGGAGAGCGGCAGCTGCAAACCGAGTATTGTGGCGTACTATTGTTGATTATGTCTTATCTTAAATGTGATGTTCTACAAATAAATGTATGTATGTGATCTTCTTCTCTCGTGGAAACCATGACCATGACCAAACAGATTCATTCTGGACCGACTGTCTAAACAAAAAAAAAATAGATTCTATATTTTAGGGTGACCAGTGAACCGGGAAATCGGATAAACCGGGTGAATTTCGATGACAACTCGGTAAAAAATATAATTCGTCATCTTTTCGAAAAAAAAAGATGTCAAAACGCTTGGGCTAGACTACATTTTAAGGATTCAATTACTTTGAATATTAGAATTAAAGAACTATTAGGAGAATTTTTCCAACTCAAATTTGTGCAGCTTTTAGAATTAATTCTAAAGACAACACCAAGGTATTTCAGTGAATATTTGCTAGAGAATTTTAGGAATAACTCTAAGAGAGTTTTCACCAGAACTCCCAAGTCAATTGAGTGAGTTCAGAGGAAAATATTTAAGTTGCTTTCTGGAAACTTCCATAACGACTGTGAGAGGATTCTAGGATTCGTTAAAAATATTCAAGGGATTCGAATTTTGGGGGTACAATTGCAAAGGAATTCTGCGAAGATCTTTAAGGAAGTTCCGATGATAATTCCAAGCGCCTTACAAAAATAATGTTTAGAGAATCTTAAGGAGAATTCCAAGCCATTCCCAGATTAATTTAGAGAAGAACTCCAAGATAATTCTGAGCAAAATTTGAAGACAATATTCGACGGAAGAATTTCTTCAGTCCGTGTTGGCAGGGAAAGGGGAGTATAAGTTTTGCTCACAAAAGCTAATAGGCCCTTTCAATTATTGGTCGAAAACTCTGACGTGAATTTCATGGGAGTTCTACGCAGAATTTCAAGAATTCAAGTGAATTTAAAAAATGGAGTTCCATTGGATTCTTAGATAGAGTTTAGATTCGGTGGACGAATAATAAAACAAAAGGTTTAGCGTTTTCTACAGAGACTGTTGTAAAGAAATTTTCATAGGACTCTCAGAGAGAACTTCAAAGTTTTTTAGATGAATTCTGAAAAAAAAAACTTCATGAAGGGAAATTCTAAAGGAAATGCTTGAGAAAAATCAAAAATCCTTCAAAGTTTTGAGCGAATTTTTAAAGACAAAATGTGAACATTTCGAACCAAATTCAAGATCCAGGAAACATGTTCCGATCTTAGAAATGATCCTAGTGATCTGTTCTGCTCAATCGCAATTAGTTTTATGCTTAATTTGAATGTATATCACGAAATCGGGGAAATTTCCAAAATTCCGGGAAAAAAGCCGGGAAATTTGACCCCTTATGTGCTCATTACCAGACGGCTGTAAATCGATAACAGTCGATAACGTCTGCAATGCAAATCCATCATTACAGACGTTTATGTAGACGTTATCGACGGTTATCGATAATAGCCCTCTCATTACCTACTCTTGTTCACTATCATCAAAGCTTCCATGCTTCCGACAATGTAGATAAATAAGTTCGATCATCGGTGCAGTAATGTTGATTTCGTTATTTACTCTTGGCTGTTCTTGCTTTCTCATTTTAATTGTCATTGTCATTTGAAGAGATTCAATCAAGCACATCCGTTTCGAGTGAGTACGCATGGTTAAATCGAAATGGTTGAATATCCGCATTGCGTTTGGCCAGGGAAAACTACTCGTAGAAGTATAGAATGAATGACGATTTTGACTAAAATGTGATACCCACTCGAAAGATTTGTATCATCCGGTGCTCGTTTATCCATTATCTGATCTTTCTGCGTTGCCTGAGGTTATAGGCTTTTAATTAATTCCACACATTTTTGCCCCAGAGTACCTACGTTACGATTTGTGTCAAAATCGATAAGATAAGCCACCACCATCACGGTCTCTATTTTGTTCGCTATCAGAAAAATGCAGTCCTATACTTAGCGCAGTCCTCCTACGCTCGCGATTACTTTCGCCCACTATAATACCTTTGCTAATTCTCTGTTACCTTCATTTCTCTCCTACAGATTGCACTGAAACAATCGAAAACTACGCATCGATCGAAGATGTAAGCTGGATACGTACAATAATTCGTGTGAAACAAACTGTGATCCCTAGACGACAACACCGGAACGGACAACACCAACACCATGGACACCATAGAGGAAGTAGTTACGACAAAACCGATGGACGCCGCCACCGACGATGGTGGCGAAATGGTGGACTTGCCACCGACTATTGTGACCGATACGGTAGTAGACAATGACTCGACAAAATCCTCGCAGGATTCCTCGTTTACCGTGACGGAGTACAACAGCTCATCGCTGATGGAAGTGGTTCCAGAAAAACCGGCAGCTACTGCCGAAATTATCGAGCTTATTGATGGAGGTCTTCCCGCAAAAGATATGATTGAGACCGACGCAGTCAAGGTGCTAAATGGGGGCGATGGCAGTGATAGTGGGGTAGAATTTGGCGGTATTAGTGGTTCGTTGAACGATACCGGGGTACTGCAGAGAGCGTTAAGTAATAACAGCGCCGGGTATGCTAGCAGTTGCTGCGGACTGGAGGAAGGCAACGGAGTCAGTGTGTCGTGCAACTCCAGTATGATCAGTTATTGCTCTGATGCGTATGACAAGACCGGAAGTACGATCCTGCTTGCTAATGGAAGACTGAGCAACGACTACTGTGCTAGCGAAGGTGGTAGTGAGAGTTCCTCGGTTACGGGTGGACCAGTCAGTTCCTTGCGAAAGGCGGGTGGTACTACAAAGAAAAAGGTAGCCATGAAGGAACCGTTGACCACAAGATCACCACGAAAATCAGCAGAGAGTATTACATCGGTGAGAAGTAGCTCACGATCCAGAGCTTCCTCGCTGGGACGATCGGTTTCATTGAACTTGAAGACGCCTCCAACCTCAGCGTTGAATGTTCGAGAGCGTGCTAGATCTCGGGAGAAAATAATTTCTTCCAGTGCCACGATGGGTAAGACTACGGTGACGTCTAAACAAGCGACGCAAGCCAAGCGACCGGTTAAGCCAGATTCGTTACCAACCGGCATCAAAGAAGGCTCACCCACAATACAGAGGGTTAGTTTATCCAGAACTCCTTCGGTAACGCGTGGTCGAACTCCATTGGGTACTCCTACGGACGACGGCCGTTGGCCATCGGTAGGCGGTAAAGGCAACACGACACCTCGTTCTTCCGGCCGGGCTAGCTCGGTTGCTCCGGAAGGCCTCGCAATTAAAACTCGCGTCGGAACGCTAGCCCTGGAGGCGAAAGTTAGCTGCCCGTTGGATAAATTTGGAACTCTTCCTCGGCGTCGGAAAGAGAAATCCGCTGAAGACTTGAAAAGCTCAAGCTCTCGCAGCGAGTCCGTAACTCGTGAATCAAATCGTATGACATCGTCGCTGATGAAAAAGCTACCATCGTCCAAACAGGAAACGCCCACGAAGACAATGCCGAGTTATCCGCGGTTGGTGGGCGTAACCAAGAAGCTAGTCCAGAAAACGAAGATCTACCACGAAACCAGTGTTCAAACGGCGATTACCAGCAAGGATGTCGAAGATGCATTTAGCGGTAACGCCAAAAACATCAAGGTAGATGCGGTAGAGATGTGCCACAGATATACCCAATCGGATATCCGTGATAAAGAGATGGAAAAACTGGAAGAGAAGCTCAAAAAGCTATCAGCCGAGTACTCCACGCTGATGACGAAGCACTCGGAGAAGAGCCAAATGGTGACGGCCCTGGAGCAAAAACTGCTCAAGGAACGCGAGGAAAAACTGGCCGCACAGAAGGAATTGCAGTGCAACAGCGAACGAGTGCTGGGGATGTTGGAATCGGTACATGGGGCTCCACTCGAAAGCGCCGAAGAGTATGACAGTTTGTTGATTTTGGAGTCGCAGCTGCAGCAGTCCGGAACGGTGCTGGAGAAGAAGCAGGAGGAAATCGCCAAATTGAAGAGGAGTTGCCGTGTGCTGCAGAGCGATATGGAACGGTCGCTGAAGAATCAGGAGGAATTGTTGAGGCAGAAGACTGAACTGGAGGAGGAATCGTGCGAAATGCAGGACTTCCTCCAGGCGGAGAAGGCATCCTGTATGGATGCGCTGAAAGATGCGGAGTTGGAGATTTCGCAACTGAAGCAGTCGCTTGCTCAGAGAGAAAGTGAAATCGAGAGACAACAGGACGAGTGTAGGCATTTGGTGAGGATTGGGGAGCAGAGAAGGTGAGACTAATCTTACTTTGTATGGGACGGTTATCAGTGAGTTTATTGCATTCTTTTTTTTATGACAGACAAGAGTTTCTCGGAATGCAGGCCAAGTACAATGCACTGGAGAGTCGATCGAAGGACATCCTACTGCAGCAGGGGGCAGCCGTGTCCGGTGCATCGGTGGCATTGTCCGGTTTGGGTTCGAGGTTGGATCACCTGGTGGAGCAGTTGATTGCTTCGTACAACATTTCCGAGCAGGATTTGGAGGTGAGTGCACTTGCCTGTGCTTTATTCAAACACCACTAGTCTTGATATAGTTCATAATGGTAACTTACGTTATCTTATCTGTCTTGAAATTAATGCACTAGGATTTAGATAGATTCTTTGCTCGGGGGTAGCTATCTTCTATAAAGTTCTTCAGACATAGTGAGAGAGAGAGAGAGAGAAATATCTTGAACGTCCTTTCAAACTTAAATTTCTAGAAATCCGTAACTTCTGAAACCAGCATTTTTATTTTACTCGATCTACAAATATTTGAATTATTATAGAAGCATACATGTATGGAACCTTTGCAGATACTTGTCTGGAAGAACCGATGACAATTTATTGGTCTCTTGAATTGCATAGTTTAACGAAAACGCCGAAACTCTTTTCCATCTAGGTACCCATAAAATATATCTCTCCTGCTAGCTGTCCTAGTTGTTATGATAGTTTGCTAACAATGATCTTTTCTTCAATTCTCTGTTCCATAAACGACCATTTCTGTCACTAATCACTTTGACAAATAATTCGAACAATTCATGATCCCTTTGTTCCATCACCACCATCACCACCACCACCATCCAACATATTCCAAAACTTGCGTGATCCTAGAGGTTGCGTACTATACGGTAAGTTCTTTCACTGCTTTCGTTCCATCCATCTACGTTTGCCTTCCTCCTCTATAACGGATAGCCCTATCCCAGTCTCCGTGTGTACTAGCAACAACTAGTAGGTAGTCTTCGTTTGATAGTCCACTAGGAAGCATGATGGCTGATTTAGCTAGCGCCAGACAACGAGTGGGTAGCCTACTAGTAATTAGTTAAGAGAGATTCTCCTATACTGTCAGTTTTTGCTTGAGTTGAAACGAGCATGCTCCTTGAGTGACTAGCTATTTGAAGACTTCTGAGTCTTAGCGATTTCTCAACTTTTCGTTCCAGGACGTAATCTATCACAACGAAGCGTACACTAACAGTAGTAGCGGCGATGGTAGTCCGGAATCCGAACAACCTGGTGGTGGTAATCAGAATGATCTACAACAGCAGCAGCGGCATCAGGCACTGCAACAGGACTCCCCTCAGAAATCCTGCAAGAGCGACACTCCGCTGTCTCCTCAGCGGGGCCATTCGTTCATAGCTGCTGTGATAAGTGCGATCAAAAATGCCACCAGCAAGTCGACCGCGCTGAAAAAAAGTGCATCCGCTGCTGCTTCGAGGGATAAGCGGGAACTATGTGGTCATGGTGAGGTTTCAGAACGATTCGGAAAATGAATTGATTTCTAACATTTACTTACTTTTCATCACAGAGTCCGACTCAACGGAGATGCTCGATTCCGAAACCGAGCCCTGTCTGATGATGGACAACGTCCTGGAGGACGTGGCCATGCCGGATTCACATTCCCACAACATGGTCTCTTCGTCGACTCGAATTTCCCAAATCGAGATGCCATCCTCGCTCGAGAGCGGTGCCAACATGATGATCTCCCATGACGAATCACTGGATAACCTGTCGCAGGCAATTACCAATCGGCAGCAGATCGAGCTACAGTCCAGTATTATTGCCAGTGGTCGGTCGCCACGGTTCCGTCGATCGTGCAGCGGCTCGGAACAGCGAGCTGGAACGGCTGGGGCCGATCATACCACCACTAGTCATTCCTCGTCGCTTGAGGACGATGAGAACAGCTGCTGCGCGGAGGCATCCATGGGCGAGATGCCATCGATCTGCGAGTACTGCAACGCCCAATCGCTGGTCGATCAGGTAATAGATGTGGACAATTTAATCACCAAGCTTCTGAAGGTGCTGCGGATTGTGCAGATGGATAACGATCACTGCATACAGGAGTTAATCGGTCACAAGTAAGTTCAGTCACCCAAACGATCGCAGCTCGTAGGTACATTCATTTGTGGATGTTTTTTTTTAGAAACAAACTAGCTTTAACCAACGAGGAGATTCAGGACCGCGTGAAGGAGTTCGAAGATCTAAACGTGAAACTAAAAGACGATCTCAAAGATGCCTCGCAACAGCTACTGGCACGTGGAAACGAACTGGTCAAGAGCAAAGCCGAGCTCCAGTCCCATCGAATGGAGATTGATGTGAGTTGATTGAGGGGGGAAATCTGTTTCCAATATAGCATTAAGTCTGCAATTATTATTTGTGTTTGATGTGTTTGACTATCAAATCGAGTTATGTGATATGAATCTACGAATTTCGGCATCCTCTGATCTTATCAAGGACTCGCTAGCGTGCGCAGAAGGGGTGGCCAACAAGTCTAAAACTGACATCGTCAGTCATTCTTTTCACACGGTTTTGTTGATCTCAAATGGATACACAATATTTAAATTAGTTTAACTCTTCGAGAACCGGTATTCTGCTGGGTTCCGGAGCACTGCGGAATACCAGGCAACTCAGAAGCTGACCTTCTGGCTGGGGCAGGACCATCTGCCCCTCGCTATACCAACGAAGTACCGTTACACGATGTCAAGCGCTGGATCGTGAGCAAAGTACGGGAAGCTTGGGACGCAGAGTGGGCCCAAAACCGCTCCCTCTTCATCAGACGGATCAAAGGGACGACGAGGAAATGGACAGATCAGTGGGGTCAGAAGATAGCGTCGCGTTTGAGGACCGGTTACACCAAGATCTCGCACAATTTCGGTGGAACGCCGTCCCACAGGACTTGCGTCGGTTGTAGAACTCCAGCCTCAATCTAGCACATTCTATGCGTATGCCCTCAGTATCAGAAACTGCGGGAATGATCCTTCCACACTGGCACATTACTGAATGCGCTTTTTAAAGGATGCGGCTTTGTATTTTAAAGTTCAGTCTTTTTTTTATTTCTATCGACTGTTGGGACATCTCTGCCTGGTGGGGGCCCTCCCGGTTCCCCCGGTGTGGAGCTCTGTCTTATTCAGATTTTAATGTTGTGTCTTTAATATGTTGTGTAAATGTACGATCGCGCCAGGAACCAATTTTCAGTTGAAGTAAACACTGTAATAAACTACTCTGTCTACCTGTCATTCTGAGGCCCCACCAAACATGAACGAGATGAACTAACCTACGGCTAAAAATTTCAAAAATAAAGTTAAACAACAAAAAATAATCTTCGAGCACCAAACTGAAAATGAACTCGACACTTTTATCAAAATGTTGTACCTATCTCGGTTTCTATTTATCCGTTTTCTAATGTTATTATGGAAATTTCCTAGAGTTAAATCAATCAGTTTTAGTTTAGTTTTAGTTCAGCCAATCGTACCAATCACCATATGACATGACCAATTGAACTATAAGAAAGGGGATATCCTAATATCGAAGACAACAAATCAAGAAGACTGGCAACTTTGCCAGAATCCAAGCGACAGATACAATGGCGCTGCGCTTGAGTGAAGGTGGAAGCAACGCATAGAAAAATGAGCAAATACACAAACCCTTCTTCTGAGGATGTAATCTTTGCTATCAAATTCGTTCGAAGCATTTACCTTTGAGCGGCAGATGACGTGATTGTACCTGTCTCATAGCGTTCGTATGAGAAAACGGAAGAGTTGCCAGTCTTCTTGATTTGTTGTCTTCGCTAATATCCTACCAACAATATGCCACAACCTGAATTCTTCGTCCTTGTTGCGCATGCCATGAATTCAATTTAATGCTATTGTGGACTTAGGAATAAAAAGGGAATTCTAGGGAAGAGCCATCAGCTGTTTCCCATTTCCTGGGAAGTCAAAGATGGCCGGGAAATATAAACAGTAGGTCTATCAGTTTATTAGATGTTATTCAAAGAAGTCACAAATTCTCAAAAACTTTTAGAGTTGTCAAGGGGTCGTGGTCTGTCTGTCTCATTTCAAGAGGTCCTTCGTATGTCTTCCAGGGGATTTAGAGCTTCGGTCAAGAAGGGTCTAGAGTATAAGTATAGTATTCGGTTCCGCAATAAAGGTTTGCCGCTATAATCCTACAGAAACTCAACGAGGACATCTGTCAGCTGAGCACTCTGTGCGCCAATAAACAGAATAGCAACACCGACTGCGGACTGGTGATCAACCGAGCGGACATCATTAGCGCTCTGAAGATGTGGAACGATTCGGACTCGATTCCGGAGCAGGATTTGATTCAACACATCATCCAAGCGTGCAATGAGGTTAGTTCTTTAAAAATCCCGATGTCCATTGTGTTCGCGAAATCTAATCGAAATTCATCCCACACACAAACACACCCACAGATTCCCAAGCTGAAAGCTCGCCTTCGGGAGAAGGAACAACAAGTGGCATCACTCACGGCTGGTGCTGGCGGTGGAGGTAATACCAACCTGGTCATGACGGCCAGTTGGCACCAGGCACTGACCGAAGCCAAGCGGCAGTACGATGCGATCGATCGGGCGCTAGAAGTAAGTGCGATATTTTCTAAAGCTGTAGAAAAGTTACTAGTGCACAAGCTATTTCGTTTGTTCTCGGCATTCCGACAGAGGTGCTTTCCTTTTAATATTTTCTGGCTAATATTTACCAATATCACCCATATGTTTCAAAGTTTCTTTCGACAGGGGTAACGTGTTTATTTTTGAGATATTTAATATAACATTGTCTACGTTGTAAGGATCGAAAGTGATAGAAACAGATAATCAGAGAGACTATTTTCACACTTATTTAACAATAATTATATAACTAAAAGTGATTGGCTGTGGGTGCTTAATTGTATAACGCAATGTTCCTTATTTTACTATTTTTGAAGGTTGTTTTTTGTTTTGTTAAAATGAAATAAACAGATGGTTAATATATTTGATTTCCCCAAACAGCTAGTCTTTTTCCTGCATGACTGCATGATTCCTTGAAGGGAAACATACCCGAGTACCCAGACAAACAGATTGCATGTATATCTTTGTTGTTTTGGGGATAAACGAACCTATCCCAGGCTACCAGAAGTCGTATAACAGTGCACATATAGAATCGAATTTAGTCAAACTTGTATCAAGAAATGAAGTTCACAACATGATGTCTAATCCAGTAATATATACTGTAAAATCCCAAGTCAATTTTGCAATAGTACAAATAATATCTGTTACATATAAAAGACTTGCTGAAAACCTCTTAAATAAAGAAACAAAACAAAATTGAATCGCTTATAGGGTGTAAATTTAATTTGCTTTTATAAGGTTTCCACTTTAATACGTCTACATTTGTGTATGTGCATAATACACGACTCGTTTGTTCGTAATTTAGAGAAGTAGCCAGGCATGGAAAATCAACAGAGTTCCGTAAAATAGTGTATGAAACTTTTGTAGGTTTTGGCAAAACTTGTTATTATTTTTCAGTGAATGTAATTTACAATTATGGGTTATGTTCGCTCTAGGTCATCGTGCATTAGAAATACAGATTTGAGTTACTGACAAAAATTGTAGCTAATATGGAATTCTGTTGATGAAAAATGTTTTAAGCAAATGAATGTAAATGAATGCACGAAAGGAATGTAAATGATTTTCTATGCCTGGAAGCAGCATTTGTTGGACAAATGAATTCTGATTGCTTGGGATATTCCTACTATAATGCGCAAAAGTGGTATAGACACATGTTACGTGACGTTACCACGGTTTTGTCTGATTTTTTGTTTTACAGTTTTTGTACTGCAACTGAATAAAATGAAAAGTAAGTCCTAAATATAATTGCAGATTTGGAAAGTGTGTTAAATTGCCTATAAATATTGATCTGATGTGTTTCTGATTTGAGTAACCCACAACGTTTTGATGAGTAGGTGTTGAGTAGTGTAGTTGAGAAGTGCAAAACGTTGCAACGTCACGCAACATATTCACTTACCAAGGTACTCAAATCATTAACTCTTGATCGATTTTTATAGGAAATTTATCACAATTTCCAAATCTGTAGTAATGATATTTGAGCGTTACCTACTCTTATTTTTTTTTCTGCTACTGACAAAAACTGTCAAAAATCAGCCAAAAACGCGAATGTGGTAGAATGCGTCTATAACGGTGTAATATGGAGGTAGCTATGTGTTCATTTGAATATAGTGCTATCAATTCAAATTTGATTGGATTGAGAAGTATCTATTTATGAAAAACTCATAACAAGTGAGTTCTATATGACAGATAATCTGCCGGTGGACGCATAATTGTCACATGTGCTATGGAGTTTCATATACACATGTGACAATAATGCTTCTAACGGCAGTCATATAATTGCTACTAGACGGAACTGTGCACTACATACGATTAAATTTATACTTCATATGACGATTTCTGATTATATGACTAATACAAATGCCGGTATTCGACTAATATTGCGTGGTAGCGAAAATGACATCTTCGTCAATTGCCTGCCTACCCATAATATAAATAATCCAAATCAATACACCTCAAAAGCAACGTTGGAAAACTTCGCGAGTCATAGTGAGTTTTTGCGAACTTTTTCATCACTGAGCTCAAGAGTTATCCAGCTCCTGCATGCTGCATGTCTAAAATAGCACATTTCACCATCAAGTAAAACCGAAAACATCACCCAAAACATAGAAAGTTTCCCACAATACCAAACCGCAACACTTTCATCCACAGACGCTTCACAGCGTACAGTCGGTGGTGGAGCAATCGCCTGCCTTGATGCAGCTGCAACGTGATCTAGAAGAGACCAACTTCCAAGCGATCTCGCTGGTCTCACTTCCGGCCCACCTGATGACATCGGGTCTCCATCTACATAATGGTAATACAAATGGTGCTGGTGCACCCACCGTCGGCGGCCCCGGGGGCATCGATCTGAATGCCAACCAAACAAATGGGAACAGCAACGGTTCAGTAGCCGTAGCAGGACTGCAGCTAGGCCAACCGGATTTTATCGACTCCACAGCATGACGGTAAAAGGAGTCGAGAAGCATGGAGAACGAGAGTCACCGATGAATAGATAGTGAGATAAACATTTTGTTCGTACATGTTTGTTTGTTTGTTTAGAGAGTGTAGAAAGTGAACGAGGAAGTATTGTGATCATAAACCTATTTAGCAAAAGAGGAAAATAAACTTAAATACGACAGTTGCAGACTAGCCAAACAGCGATCGAATTCTAGATTCGGTAACACAGGATAATAGAGAACAAAACGAAAACAAATTGAGCAAAATCTATAGTATTTTCATGTTCCCTTGTTAGTGTCCAAAATAGAACTTAGAAGTTTCCAAATCCACAAATTAGCGCTCGAGTTAGCGCTATTGTAGTATACATTTTTAAAGCTGTTATCAAGCAAACTCTCCAGGGCAGTGTTAATCAAAACTAGTTGCATTTTCCCAGCGTTTCACTTGTCTTATCAGCGTCAATTATGAGTATGATGAAATTACAGTTATTATGGTAGCAGTGTTTTAATCGATTAAGATTCTTGGGACACTTTCCCGACTGGTATATACGGACGTAAATTTGTGCAGTAACTAAGAGTCTCGAACTTAAATTGATTTAAAACTAGGGGCGGACCGCAGCTCAATGTCAAAATCAGTTATAATGGTTGCACTATTCTCTTTGAATCTAACTTATCAAAATATCGTTCCTATCTACAAGATTCGAACGTTTCCTTACACAAACTTAAGCAAACGTTCAGTTGATGCATAGGTACTCCTAACTTATTCAGCGCAACAAATAGTGTTCTTTTGTCATTGATTGTTATTACCTTGTCATTTATCGTATTTTCTGTTGACCTAAGGCTTCATTGCGTAGCTCTGAACGAGAAACTTTTTTTATACAAGCATTCGTACAAAAAATGCTTCGTTCCGAGCTGCGCAATGGTGGTCCCTGTTTCCAATGTCCGCTGAAATAGTAATTCTATTCACTGAGCTTGAAAACGTACTCCTTCGGTTTCGTGAATAGGTGTTCTGGGTATTCCTTGATGGTGCCTCGCATCAACCGAATGGCTTAATTTTAGATTTGTTGGGATCCATCTAGATATGCTTCGTTGTCTTCTATACTGCCGCTATTCGCATATCAGTCCCATGTCCTATGGATTTCCTATCTACATAGGGCTGTTATGCGAATAGCGGCAGTATATTGATTGCACAGATCCACCAGTTTTCCCTCAATAAGCAGGTCTACTCTGGACCTGTTTAAAAACCCCTATGGGATCCCTCGGATCCCTTCAGCCTTAACCATTGAGTCATGAATCATTCTTTAACTGCTGCAGTTCTATGGACTTTCATATTTGAGATCACTGGATTAGTCTAATTAATAAAGCTAACCTAAACTTATCTAACTGGGTTTGCCTCCGGGAACAATTGAACTTGCATTACCGGAATCTTCTTGCATCGTTAACTAAACCAAACCGGTCTCGTCTATCAAGTCTATTGACCTGCCACTATCCAAAGCTTCAGGAAACATGGCATAAAGTCTTCAAAACTGATGCTGACGTTCCTCTGAACTACCTTTGAGGGACTTAGGATTTACTTCTGAGACCTGCAGACATATCCTGAGTAATTTGTTTCTTTAATGTTTCTAGTTTTCCGCACTCTAAAAAGTACTGACTCATTCTCTGAAGGTTACTAAATGTATTTTAATTTAAGTCAATGTTAAGAAATTCTGTTTATTCCTCTCAAAACGTGAGTGTTTTTTTTAAGCATTCGAGGATTACAAAGAAGACTGACTAACTGAGCACCCAGTGGGGCCATTGGGGATTATTCCGAGAGTCGAAGTGACCTTTGTCACTAGTGAAGTGAGAAAAGTCACGTCGTGATGACGGGACTATCTGTGCAAATCAAACGCAGAGTCACGTCACCCCGACGTGACTTTTATCACTTCACTACTGACAAAAGTCACTTCGAGTCTCGGAATAACCCCCATTGTGAAAGATTTCCATCCTGGGCAGCTGCTTGTCTTGCCTTGACCTGTGCCCACATCAAATTTCTGTCGACTTGCTTGATTTCAAGTCAACTCCCCGAGTATAAGCCAAGGTAATAATTGATTTTATATAGTTTATTAACTACATCGTCCGTCCCTAGACTATTGTGTAACGCACCGTTTAAACAAAAACCAGCTCCAAAACCGCACATACACACTGATAGGACCTTCTCTCGTGACTTGAGAAAAGTATCTCTACTATTGAATCAAGACACATACGCTGTCATAGATAGTAATCACAAACCGGACTCAACTCCACAGCTAGTACTGAAAAATTAGAATAATCAATCAACTTAATTCTAGCTTTCACTAAGTTTGCACAGACGATCAAACTTTACGAAGACTAGAAGCTTTTTGCACACATTCACCAATCCCCGCACTCCTGCTCAGACCATGAATCACGTTCGAGTCGGGAAAGTGTCCCCGGAAAGCAATCGTGAGGTGAAATCTTCCCTCCTTAGTAGAACAAAATAGCTAGACAATGAATTTGCTTACTCCAAGCCTCACATACACACACACACACACAATGATCGATTATGATGATAAAGACGTCCATTTTACAAACTTTGTGTATTATAAGTAGATAAGCGAACAGACATGGCCTTTAAATTATATTGAATTCAGTTTTTTTTCTCTCATCTCTTTTGTAACTATAATGTTTAAGTATGAATCCGCCCTTCCATTCCCGTATTTTTTTGTGTATGGATATTTTTCAACCCAATTGTAAACTTCTTGTATACTTTTAGTAGACATTAAAGGACTAATTTTAAGCTGCGTAAGTGATAACAAAATCCAACTTCATCAGAAGTGCAAAATTTTTGCGAAAATATTAAATGATGATAAAACTGAAAGTTGAATGCCATTGAAGAAATTCGATAAAACTAGAAACCTAAATCCTAAATTTTCCTACGTACATATAAGCTAAGATCTATACGAATAACTTATTGAAAGAGAGCGTGTGTGACTGCGCATATTTCTACGATTAAAATTAACCAATAAATAAAACAAATGGAGTAAATTCTACCACCTTCCTAACAGTGCTTCCTCTGGTATCACAGTGTCCATGGACGTTCCGCGGTCGTCATTGAGCGTGGGTGTAGCGCCTCCAACAACTCGCACAGTACCAGGTTGATCAGGAAGATTCCGTATTTGGCCTGCAGCAAGACTGATGCGGGCTTCATACGCAAGGATTTCAGGTGCATTTAGAATAATTCTCTTTATATGTTTTCACCGCTACTTTTTAAGTGTGTGAGAGGGGAGAGGAGTCTCAAATATTTCAAATTTATAAAACTGAGTATTTAAAGAAGTTCAGGGAACTTTTTAGATGTCAACAGCAAATCGTGAAAGTTAAAGGAACATCATTTTATTTCAGGCAACTTCATAGTAGTATTTTTTTCTTAGGCTACATGTTTTTTGGCTACATGTTGCTCATTTTGTGCCCCGTTAACCCTTCGACTGTGCAAAAAAATTGTATGTACGTATATGTATGTATGTATATACAATCCAACTTCCACTATCCGGCAGTGTTTTTATGGAAGAAAAATGTGTACAATATAATCTATTATTATCTTATACTGATCCCATAGCAAACAATGTTAGCCGGAAGTTGAAAGGTGATAACTCTGTTGAGATTCAGTAACCCATTTCAGAATTCCTGGTCACTCACGTCCATTCCGAGGTTACTTTCACTTACAACAAGCCCCGCATACACGTAGTACCGATATAAAATGTATATTGGTACTCGGTGTACACTTCCATCATCAAAGCAATTCCTGCACGTATTTAGTATATTTTTATGTCTAGTTGTAATCAGTTCGATCTCACCGCTTATGTATTGTGTCCTTGCTGCTGAATCTTTGTCATCTCGATTCTAATTGAGTAAGTCTCACCGAATTCAATATTATCCAAATCCATCATCAAACTTCCTTCTCTCATTCTTTGCGAGTATGCGCTATTTCACTCTTCTTCTTAAATTTCTTAAGGCACTTCACCCAGGTTTTTCAAGCACTCTAGAGGAACCCGTTTTGCCCGCGAATCGGTTCCGGAAGATTCCCTCAGAGAAATAACGTTTTCTCCTCGACAAACACAAACAGCGTGCTTTAAAAATTAATTTTTCGGAACAGGTTCCCCTCGACAAGGACACATTTCTAAAGATTTTTGTCTGAATCACGAACACTTCTAGACCAACAATTGAAATAGGCGAAACAACCAAACGTAAACAATGGCTTTAAACACAAAATTTTCGAGAATCACAACACTCTCGCGCAAACTAACAATGTCATTCGATAAAGGAAGTTTGCTCTATCAGATAACGGTGTTAGATTGCTTGGATGTGCTTTGATTCTCGATGAATTGGCGTTCAAAGCCATTGTTTACGTTTGGTTGTTTCGCCTATTTCAATTGTTGGTCTAGACTTAAAAACACATTTGAAATCATCAATCGCGTTTGAAAATTGCATAAAATCATAAAACTTCATTCGAAAAAATACAGCTGCAAAAACAAAACACGTCAACTTTTCACCGCGGCCTACCACGATCTGTACCAAAGGGTAGGTCACTCCGCACACCAATCTTGGGTCAATTTTTTTCTCAGTGTTCCGCAACTGTACCGCTGGTCGGTTGTGCCAGCAGTGCCGGGCATAGAGCAAGCTGTGATTTAAAAAAAATAGTACGGTATATTTGGCAACCCCAAATTTGGTATTTCTCCTCTACTTCGACGACGTTCACCATGTTATCACAGAGCCACGACTATCGTTTGCAGACGATCTGAAAGTTTTTCTGCGCATCCGCTCACTCACCGACTGCCGTTCTCTCCAAAATCAGATTGACATCTTTGATGACTGGTGTAGTCTACACCGACTGGTGGTCAACCCAGCTAATTGTACAGTTATTACTTTCTCACGCAAGAAACAACCGATTATTTTCAACTACAATCTACTAGGCACGACTATCGAACGGGTTCACTGCGTGAAAGACTTAGGCGTTTTTCTAGACTCAAAGCTGACATACTCACACCATGTATCGTATGTCGTCGACAAAGCGTCCAGAACGCTTGGCTTTGTTTTCAAGATTACTAAGAACTTCACGGACATTTACTGCTTGAAATAGCTCTATTGCTCTCTCGTACGATCTACGTTGGAATAGTGCTCTGCTGTCTGGAGCCCGAACTACAAGAATGGGGCCGAGCGAATTGAATCTGTTCAACGACGTTGTCTTCGCTTCGCCCAGTATTTCTGACAGCTTCAATGATTTTTTTTTTTTACCGACGAATAAAACGACTCTACACCAGGAACTAGAGTTTTCCCATGATGATTCACTGCAGAAGGTGGATTGCATTTTGACGGTGGTCGGCGTAGACGAGGAATCCATCTACAGCAAATCAACCTCGTTGAAGACCTGGCTGCTGGGATACGAGCTGATCGATACGATTACGCTGCTGTGCGAAAAGTCACTCTTTTTCCTGACCAGCAAGCAGAAGAATGTCGATTTCCTTAAGCAGATCGAGAAGGACGGTGAGGAGGGCATTCCGCCGGTGGAGCTGTTGTTTCGGGAAAAGAAGGAAAAAGATAAGGCCAATGGATCATATCATTCGAGCAGTTCAAAATTACGTTTCCTACCATTCGAACTTTAACGTGGAACAATATTTTGATATTTTTTCTTCTACAACCTCGAGAAAATAGGGTATTATTTGTAATATGCTTAAAAAATCTGGAATTTAACGATTTTAAATTGGCTCACTACTTGACTAGCCTATTGGTCCCAAGCAAACGATTAACGTATCCCATTCTACTCGAAATTCTAGTACTACACTATGTTTGTTTTGATTCGCTTTAAAAGTTTGACAGATAAAACGAGGGGTTAGTGAAATTTCCTATGTTTCGAGGGGTGAATCGATTAGCTTGGGACCGAAGATAGTACCAGAGCTGAGCCAAAAAGTAGAGCTCGTTTCTTCGGGACCTTCTGGTCTTAGAGTTACCTCTACGGTAGAAGGTCGTCTCAAAACTGCTCGACAGTATGATTCATTTTGAAGATCTGCTGGAGGCGATTAAGGGATCCAAGGATGGCAAAACGTTGGGCGTCTTCTCCAAGGAAAACTTTCCGTGTGGCGAGCCTTCATCAAGGACAAGAGTTTCGACACGGTGGACATCAGCGAACCAATCGCGAACATCATGCCCTCCAAGGTGGACTCCGAGGTTATCACCATCAGACGGTAGATGTATTCAACAAGTACGTCAAGGATGACGTCATGGAGATTATGGATGCTGATAAGAAAGTAAAACATGCCAAACTGTCGGAGGGTGTCGAGCAGGCTCTGACGGGCAAAACTTTCTGCACTTTGGATCTATCATCTGTGCTCTGGGTGCGCGTTACAAGTCCAACTACTCGAATGTCGTCCGAACGTTGCTGGTCAATCCGACGGAAACGATTCAGAAGCACTACACTTTACTGCTCAATCTGGTTTTCGACGTCGGAATGGAGTATGCCAAGAAGAAGGATCTCAAACTAAGACGTTTGATTTTACCAATGGGTTTTAGTTCCGAGAGAATCCGATCGTAGTACCTGAACAAGTGAAATTCAGTTTAAAAATTTAAAGTTAATTAGGTCGAGTTGCAGCAAAAAACATTCCGCGTGAACTACTCAAATTTAAACCGAAATCTCACTTCAAATTTACATACGTTGCATCGGGTGTAAGGCCACAGCCACCGCCATCAAAGCATATCCATCGTTGCCCCAGTAGTTGGACCAGGAGTTCTTGATTAGACAGGAATCTTCTCCTTAGAGTTTTCCGTATCCAACTGCCACCATTGCATGATTCAATCCATGCAAGTTGCTCTTGCATTCCAATTTCGTAGTACACTCCATTTGCGTAGTAGCTGAAAGACTTGTGACCGGTATCGATAGCAATCGACAGGCCTCGGAAGCCTACATTTCCAATTTAAATGTGAACCGAGAAGTGAATTGCTGGTCTGAGTTCCTCTAGAATATTCAATTAGAGTATGTTTCTGAAATACACAGTCAAACAGCACGTAATGTTGTGAACAACTTCAATAACAGCAGTCCAGCAGGGCGCCCATTTTATTTAATGAACAATCCAATGCCGAGATTGTGCCGATCGATGTGCCCAAGCAGTGCCGAATCTACTTTCGGCATACTGTGCTGAATGACTTACCCCTTGGTCTGTACCTTATGGTCAATTTGAGCCCAAAAATCAAATTGTCATATCTCAACGGAGGTTCAACGGATTTTTGAAATTTCAAACTTTATGTTTTTTTTACGTAGGACTACGTCTTTGATTTCTATATGGGGGTACACTTTGTGAAAACCGAAAATGGAACATGTAACAAATTAAGAAAGATTTTGAACGTTAATAACTCAGCTGCCCCTGGTCCAATTTCAATAATTTTATCACCAATCGATCAGAAATATGGCTACGCATCGATAACAATGCTTCCGAATGTTGATTTTCAACAAGAAACTATTGAAAAACTGGTAAATGTCCAGCATTGTCCAAAAGCGTCGAATTAACTAACAGATCCACCAATTACCTACATGCATATGCTGCTTCCCCAGCACAGTCGTCAGAAGGTAGTAAGTAGACGAAACAAGTCGAAGTGGCATTCGCCTCGGGCGCGTGCAAATATGGAGGATGGAATTGCGTAATACTTTGCACACTCATCGCCATATTCAGAACCAAACGCAAATTCTTCGAGATAACCACCATCCGTCGTCTGGCTCGCCGTGGCGGTGTCTGACGTATCTCCGGTCTGATCTACGAGGTGTGCTGAAGGTGTTCCTGAAAAATGAGATCCGTGATGCTGTCACCTACACTAAACAAGCCAAGCGTAAGCGGCCATGGATGTCATCTACGTTTTGAAGTGACAGAGACGCACTCTGTTTGGTTTCGGAGGTTAAATCACCATCAACTTTGGCAACTTTTCAGGGCCACTAAGCTTATTACAGTAAAGAGTAGGAATAAAATTCATCTGCCTGTTTGTCCATATTCAGAACCAACGACCACACAAAATGCTCATGTAATCAAACTGGAAGCAGGGGTACAAATTATTTTGATCAACCTTGATCAGCTTTGAATCACCACGGCTGGATATTTTCGATGGAAGAAGCAACAATCTAGCATCTAATTCGACGAAGACGGTAGGAAACATTTGTGAAGCCGAGTTATTTACGAAAGAGAGTGTCGATGAAGAGAATCGATCAATGTAGATAGGACCTATTGAAAAGTGACGCGAGATTTGTTTTGCGTACTGAGCTCCAATGCTACCGACGCCAGGGAGGCAGCTCCCACACCTGGACCCTACCAATCGACCCATCAACTCAACCGGGGACCAACGGCTTTACTTCCCGAAGGAAGGCGTGATCAGAGATGTTATGCCTTAGTGATTGGACCCATGCCTGCTGGGGTGAGAGGTAATCACGCAAACAACTGGCGCCAATATCTTTCTAGGTGATATCACGGCGAATGAGAACTTTGGGTCGTTAGTTTAGTTATCTCAGAAATAAGAAATAAAGTGCAGGAACTCAGCGATGAGTAAATTTGCCTCCTGTTTTCCCAGGTTTTTCCAGGATTGTCCAAGGAAAAATTCCCGAATTTGAAAAAAGTAAAGATTGGATTCACTCAGTCTATTGGTACTACTCCGAGACTGAATAAAATTTTCGTCAATTTCCTCATTTTCTGGCAGATTTTTTAGGTTTTCCACAGGAAACCATGAGACAAATTTACTCATCGCTGAGTTCCTGCACTTTTGAAGATTATGAGTGAACTAAACTCAAATTTGGGTCGTTCTCATTCGCCGTGTAAGCAAAACGAAAAGAGCCAGTGTCGCTACTTGATAGCAAACTACTCATAATAGGAGGAGTCTTTTTAGCTTTTATACCACTTGGTTGCACATCATTCTGCTTTAACCTGAAAATATATAAAAGAGCGCTGCTGTATGGCATTAGCTCACTTTCGCTTCGGACGGTGAACAGCAATAGCAGCAGTAGGAAGGTGGTGGCTAGTCCACTCCTTCACACCTAACAAGCAACAATTGTTGTGGTAAAGGAGGCGCCAAGCGTCATCGCAAAGTTCTTCGAGATAACCGCCATCGGTCGTCTGCTGATCTACGAGGTGTGCTGAAGGTGTTGCTGGAAAATGAGGTCCGTGATGCTGTCACCTACACTAAACACGCCAAGCGTAAATGGCCATGGATGTCCTCTTCAATAAAACGGCCCTTTTCAGGGCCATCAAGCTTACTTCAGTAAAGAGTTAGAATATAATTTATCTGTGCTTGTTTGTCCATTTTCAGAACCACAAGCCCCCAACGACCACACAAAATGCTCTCCAGAGTTGTAATCTTGTAACCAAACTCGGAAGCAGGGGTGCAAGTGATTTTGATTGATTCTCTTAATCAACTTTCTCTTTGAAAAAAATACAACAAATTTGGTACGCCTAAAATTCAAAAACGGAAAGAGTTGAGATAATAGATAATTGATCAATTAAAAGAACTAAATGCTCTTCACATTTATTCCGTCCACTAGCGGTCCTTCGTCAAGCTTCCGTTCGTGCCCCTAGGCACAAACCCTTCTACTTTTTTGAATTATCTTGCCCCTTAAATGCTGCACAGTAGGTTGGCCGTTTTGATATGTGTGACGCATCAACATATATCAAATAGACAAGAAAAATGATGTATCATTTTCCAGGATGCTTTCAAGAACTGGCTGTGTTGGTGTTAGATTAGATTAGATTAGGTTTGGATAAGCTCTTTAGTGGGACACTGATGAAGACTGCACATTGTAGTCGAAATATGTAGGGGAAAAGTTGGCTTCAGCAATACCTTAACCTACTATCGTCAGGGGGGTAAACAACGTCCTTGAGAGCTCAATTTTGGCATGTGGATACATTGTGTTTCAGAGCAACTGTTGCCGTTGCAGTCAGGCCTGAAAGGGTTGCGGTAGCATAACTACGCTTTCGAGAAAGATGATGAAGCACTAGAGTCAATCCTCGACGGTGGGGACTACAAAGGCGATAAAGTGGTTGCGGATGGACCGACACGGCTCCAGATAGCGTCTCGACAGGTATTTCCAAGGAGCCTGCCGAAGTTTTATGGAGCAGCAGAAGAGTGGCCGATCTTTATCAGCGCCTACGAGCAGGCAAACCAGTCCTGTGGATTCACCAACGCAGAGAATTTGGTCCGTCTACAGGATGCTCTGAAGGGGAAAGCATTGGATACGGTTCGAAATCGTCTGCTTTTGCCGGAGAACGTGCCGTTGATCATCGAGAAGCTGAGGAAGAGATTCGGGAATCCGGAGATCCTGTCAATCAGATTGGCGACAAAGATCCAGCAGCTAGAGGGACCAAGCACGAAGAGTTTGGAGTCGGTGATCGAGTTCGGAAGTGCCGTCGAAGAGTTTACTCAGCATCTCAAAGCGGCCGGGCTGGTGGACCACTTGAAGAACCCAATTTTGATGCAGAGTCTAGTTCAGAAGCTGCCGTCGTACTATGTCATGGAGTGGGTGGACTACAAGCGACGCGCACAGTCAGTCGACTTGGAAACATTCGGTGCATTCATGGAAGGTCTCGTAGAGAAGGCGTTAGAAGCAACCTTCGAGAAGGCAGATGCAAAGGAGAAGGGTAAGATGCGAAATAGACCACAAACGAAGGCTTTCGTTCACGTCACGGATGGAGATAGCGGCCGGTCTGGGAGTGTGATGTCAGCTGGGAAGAATTCGTCACCCCAACCCCAGCGCCGAGAGTTGAAGTGTTCCGTGTGCCAAAAGTCTGGGCATTACGGAAGGAACTGCCAGGAATTGCTCAAACAGAGTGTTGCAGAGCGGTGGAAAACGGTGACTCGGTTGAACCTCTGTCCACTCTGCCTTTACGACCATGGACAACGATCATGTCGTATAAGAGTTCGTTGCAAGGTAGATGGCTGTCCGGAAAACCACAATGCCCTTCTTCATGGTGGACCAGCCGGATACTCGCGAACTCAGGTGCAGTGTAATAGTCATCGTCAGTCGAAATGTGCAGTTCTGTTTAGGATGGTTCCAGTGACGCTATACAACGGCAAGAAAAGAGTAGATACTCTAGCACTCATCGATGAAGGATCTTCGGTTACCATGGTGGACAGTGAATTGGTGAGAACGTTGGGTGCCGATGGACCAGTGGAACCACTGCAGATGACTTGGACAAACGGCGTACAGCGCACGGAGTATCAGTCGAAGAAAGTGGTGCTTGAGATATCTGCCAGAGACTCGTCGAGTAGATACGATCTGCTGGAAGCTCATACGGTGCACAGGTTAAACCTCCCTGCACAGAAGCTGGATTCAGCGAAGTTGGTCCAGGAGTTTAAGCACCTTGAAGACATCGACATTCCCAGTTACGAGAGAACTACACCGAAGGTGCTGCTGGGGATCGATAATCTTCACTTGATCGCCCCGCTGGACTCACGAATCGGAGAATCTGGTAAACCAGTTGCCATTTTGTGCAAGCTCGGCTTGACGGCTTATGGTCCACAACCAAACGTCGTAGGAAAGGTGCATTTTCTGGGACACCATCGGTGCTCGTGTGAGGAGTGCAGCAAAGCGGATAAGGATCTGGACGAGGCGATGAAGAAACATTATCAACTTGAAGACGTCGGAGTGTCACCTATTCGTTTAGAATCGAAGGAAGATCGTAGAGCACGCGAGATTTTGGAGAAGACCACTCGAAGAGTGGGTAGCAGGTTCGAGACAGGATTACTCTGGAAAGAAGATGATGTTCGATTTCCGGAGAGTTTAGACATGGCCATGAAGCGGTTGCGATGTTTGGAGGCTCGGATGGACCGGAATCCTGGAGTGCAGGAATGTTTGCAGAAGCAGTTGGAAGAATATCTTGCCAAGGGCTACGCGCATCGTATCACCGAGCAGGAGTTAAAGGAGACGCCGAAGAGTAAAGCTTGGTACCTACCGCTGAACTACGTGGTACATCCGAAGAAACCTGGCAAGGTGCGGTTGGTCTGGGATGCGGCAGCGAGGGCTCATGGAGTGTCGCTTAACGATAAGCTGTTGAAGGGTCCAGACATGATAACGTTGCTACCAGCTGTTATAAGTGGATTCCGCGAGAGAAACGTGGCGTTTGGAGGTGACATTAGGGAAATGTTTCATCAAGCATGGGTTCGTGCAGAAGACCGTCAGGCACAACGGTTCCTATTCGTGGGTCCGAACGGAGTGGTGGAAACGTACGTGATGGATGTGGTTATCTTTGGCTCGACCTGTTCGCCTTTCTCCGCACAGTACGTGAAAAACTTGAACGCGCGGGAACATGCCGAGCAGTATCCGGAGGCTGCCGATGCTATCGTCCGAAAGCACTATGTCGACGACTATTTCGACAGTGCCGATACAGTAGAGGAAGCGGTGAGACTAGCGATGGATGTGCGACGTGTACACGCCAACGGTGGGTTCGAGATTCGGAACTGGGTTTCCAACTCACAGGAAGTGTTACATCAGCTCGGAGAGGAGAAGTCTGTGGTGAAACCACTAGAAGTAGACAAGCATTGCGCTACGGAGAGAGTCATGGGAGTGCTGTGGGACCCGGAAGGTGATCACTTCGTTTTCTCAACGGAGATTCGCCAAGACCTTCAGCCCTACATTCGGGAAGGTGCTTGGCCAACAAAGAGGATTGTGTTGCGGTGCATTGCCAGCACGTTCGATCCGAAGCAGTTCCTGGCTCCGCTGTTGATACACGGACGGATCATAATGCAGGATTTATGGCGTAGTGGCATAGGTTGGGACGAGAAGCTCACGGAAGCTCACTACAAGCGGTGGGTGCAGTGGACACAGCTATTCCATCTAATCGATGAGATTCGTGTTCCACGGTGTTACCTCGGTGGATTGGACTCGAAGGTCTATGAAACGGTGCAGTTACACGTTTTCACTGACGCTGGAGATGCGGCATATGGATGCGTGGCCTACTTCAGGTTCGAGGACGGCGAAGTCGTTCACTGCGCATTCATCGAGGCCAAAGCGAAGGTGGCGCCATTACAGTACCTGTCTACACCACGGTTGGAGCTAGAAGCGGCTGTTCTCGGTGCGCGATTGACAAAGTCGATCTGCGATGTCCATTCCTTTCCGGTAGCGTCGTGGTGTGGTGTGGTGTGACTCGGATACGGTAGTATCATGGGTGAAATCGGACCAACGAAGGTATAAGCCGTTTGTTGCCTATCGCATTGGCGAGATCCTCAGCATCACGAATCCAGAAGAATGGCGTTGGGTAGGAACGAAGGACAATCCAGCGGACGATTTGACGAAGTGGGGCAAAGGAACGGAGATCAAGTCGGGAAGCCGATGGTTCCATGGACCGGATTTTCTGTATCACGGAGTGGAAGAATGGCCGAAGCAAAAGCGTCCAAAGGTGGAAGTTGCCGAAGAGCTCCGGGCGAGCGTGCTGCTGCATCACATCGGGTTACCCGAGGGGTTTACGGAGAGGTTGCAGCATATTTCGGGTTGGACAGTAATGGTGCGGACCCTAGCAACAGTGTTCCGATTCGCGTCCAACTGCCGGCGACGCGTCAAGAAGCTGCCGATCGAAGCCGTTAGGAAAGGTGTCAAGCAAGGATCAACGTTCCCCGCCGTGGATGTGCCGTTGCGACAGGAGGAGTACCAGGCTGCAGAAACAGTTTTGTGGAAGGTAATTCAGGCAGACGAGTTTGCCGACGAAGTGAGGACCCTGGTGAAGAACAAGGATTCGACAGTACATGAAATGTCACTAGAGAGGTCGAGTAAGCTGTATCGTCTTGCACCGTTCCTGGATGAGGATGGTGTCGTGCGGATGGAAGGTCGTACAGAAGCGGCGGAATATGCGGCATTTGATGCGAGGTTTCCGATCATTCTGCCGAAGGACCACGTGGTGATTCGAAGGTTATTAGAACACTACCATCGGCAGTATGGGCACAGCAGCAGAGAAACCGTTGTAAACGAAGTTCGGCAGCGATTCTACATTCCGTGTCTCCGAGCGCTAGTAGATCAAGTGATGCGAGCCTGTGTGTGGTGCAAGATTCAAAAGGCGAAGCCAATTGTTCCGAGAATGGCACCCTTACCAGGGCAGCGTTTGGCGGCGAGGGTCGATCCGTTTTCGTACGTCGGCATAGACTATTTTGGTCCACTGGAAGTGTCTATTGGCCGAAGGAAGGAAAAGCGATGGGTGGCACTTTTCACGTGCCTAACTGTGCGAGCGGTACATTTGGAGGTGGCGTACAACTTGACGACTGAGTCGTGCAAAATGGCGATCAGGAGGTTCGTAAAGCGGCGTGGCAGTCCGATCGAGATCCTTTCGGATAACGGCACGAACTTTTTCGGTGCCAGTCGAGATCTGCCGAAGGAAATAAATCTAGCATGTGCGGATACCTTTACCGGTGCGAGGACTCGTTGGACTTTTAACCCACCGGCTGCCCCACACATGGGAGGTGCGTGGGAGAGAATGGTGCGCTCGGTGAAAGAGGCACTAAAAACGTTCACAGATGGTCGGAAGCTGACGGACGAGATCCTGCAGACGGCACTGATCGAGGCGGAGAACCTGATCAACTCTCGTCCACTCACGCCGCCGAACGCCGAACCACTTTTTGCGTGGTCGTTCATCGGTCGAGTGTCTGCCGTCGAGGAATCCTATTGACCTAGCCAACACGTTGCGTAGTAGCTACCATCGCGCACAGTTCTTGGCTGATGGATTCTGGGATCGTTGGCAGAGGGAATACCTGCCGATGTTAAACAAGAGGTCTAAGTGGTTCGTGGATCAGCGACAAGTAGCGGTTGGAGATTTGGTGTTCGTGGCAGATGGAGAGAAGCGAAACGTCTGGGAGCGAGGCGTGGTGAAGAAGGTGTTCGTTGGGAGTGACGGAAGAGTCCGTTCAGCGTCCGTTCAGACAAGCAGAGGCGAGAAGGTCAGACCGGTAGCGAAGCTAGCCGTTCTGGAGGTCACTTCGAAGGAGTAATCCCCGTACTGTTCCTTATGGAACCAGCCACAGGGTTTACGGGCGGGGGAATGTTGCCGTTGCAGTCAGGCCTGAAAGGGTTGCGGTAGCATAACTACCGTGAACGCGCCCCTTTGATGCGCCCGTTTTTGACGTTTCTTGCCGTCGCTGTAGCAGTGAGGCGCATAGATGAATGTATGCACACAGAGGTGCGATAGTGAGTGGGATAAGCTGAACACGGCCATCGCTTTCGTACTACTTTGTTTTGTTTACCCCAGCAGCTGGCCTGGAAAGAGGAGAGTATAGACTCCATCGCGATAGATGTGTTTTTGTTGTTGCGAATTATGTTTTGTGCCGATTATTGTACCTAGTAAGTTGTGTAATTTGTAGTTTATTAGTTTATTTGTAGCTTTTTAAATATTGTGAAATCATAGATTGTTCGCCACTGTTGTACCGCGGGAAGCAGATATGTTTGCATTTAGTGTATTACTGTTCAATTACCGTAAGTTAAATATTATGTAAAGGTGACATGTTGTTCAGTGTCTTTTATTTAATTAATTGATAGGACCTCGCTAAGCCCGCCGAAGGTAGATTGGCATTGAGGAGTTGCAGGCGTTGAAAAACTAAATTGTAAGTTGTCGATTGTAAGTTTGTTTTATGTAAATAGTTGTTAATTTTGAATATATTTTAGTTGAGTTTGTCCGTCAAAAGACCTACTTTTGAAAATCGTTTTTCATTCGCACCGGAGGGGTGCGAACAGCAACTATTGGCCAAATTTGAGTGCTCTAGGACCTTTTTTTTGCTGTTTTATTTAAGCATTCCGCACAACACAAACCCAATTTCATTACTTCAACATATATGAATTTCAGCATACATCAGAAATATATAGGATGTCAAGTGTGCTCCAGAATTTACGATTGTAGTTCAGTCAAACACTAACGGACCCTAAGGTCTAAGTAATTTGTTGAACGATACGGGTACAATATTAAAATGCCGATTTATAGCTCCACGTTTGCTATATGGATTTGCTTTAGGATGTGAAGGATTGTGCAAACATTATTCATCGCATATTGAGGTCATGACTCATGTCTTATGGATATATTAAGTTAATTTTTGCCTCAGTGCACCTTTGATATCCCGCTGATCAAGTAGTCTTGGACGGTTTGACACAACCGAAAAGCTGCGTGTCACAACATAATGTCCTCGTTTGCTGGAAACATATCGCATCGGGAACCGCGCCATGCGAGCTTCTTGTCCTTTGCAAAACCCGTAGATTAAAGATCTGAGTAGCTGAAATGTACTTTGAGTTTGCTAACGATTTCTTTATTCTAGCTTGATTGCAATTACATCCATCAACTGAATAGTTCGGAGAAGTGTAACTTTGTCAAGACGACGGAGTCCTGCCGGGAAAATGTGTTCTACTTTGACTATACGTACTTCCTGTTCTGCACGATCGGCGAAGAAGACAGGTGGCAGTTTGATTTGGGAATAGCCTTGTTGGTGTTCATATTATTAATTTTCTTTACTGTGCTGGCAACGACGGCTGATCAGTTGTAAGTACTGCTACATCTATGATGACTTCTAATCTACTGTTTCATGATACAACTTGTTCGACAATCTAGCTTCTGTCCGGTACTGGCCGTGATAGCCAAGACTTTCAGAATAAGCGAAAGCGTCGCTGGGGTAACGATCTTGGCCTTCGGTAATGGATCACCGGACCTTTTCACTGCGATTAACAATCCCCACAGCGATACTGAGCTGATGTTCGGTGAACTGTTGGGAGCGGGGATGTTCGTCATTGGCGTCGTGGCCGGCACCATCCTAATAATCAGGCCATTTCAGCTCAACTCCGCCGCAATAGTGCGGGATGTGATATTCTTCATCTTTTCCGTTGCGTGGATCTCGGGTTGTGCATTCGATCAACGGTTTTCGCTGTCGGATGCTATCGTTGTAGTGGTGATTTACGTAGTCTATCTGATCGTAGTTGTGATTGATTTCTTTGTGCTGAAGCACAGATTTCAGGAAGCGGAATCGCAATGTATTGAATTTGTATTCAGACTTATGGGATAATTTATGTAACGAGGCTTCTTATTCCAGTATCGCTAACGGGAGAAATTCCGGATAGTGACTCTTACTACAATGAGCTTCGTGGAGAAGCGGAGATGGTCATAAGATCACCCACTGTGGGTTCGGAGCTTGACATATCCAAGACAAGAATAAGCGTCTTTCAGAACGTGCATCAACGACGGCCGCCACGAAATCATTATCTTTTCATAGATTTTCTGGAACACATCAGTCCTATTGATCGCGCCGAGTGGAACGGCAGCACCTGGTTCTGTAGGATGTTGACCATTTTGAAAGCTCCCGTGATGTTCGTTTTGCTGTTGATTATTCCCATCATGGACTACACTGCCGAGCGGCATGGTTGGACCAAACTGTTGAATATCCTGCACTGGTTGACGCTACCGATGGTGACGCTGGGTGTGAGTGGGTGTAAGTAGGGCTCATTAACTTTGGGGTCTTTTGAGTTCTAACAACAATTAATCTTTCCAGCATTCTTCGACACTGTGCTTAATTGCCCTGCCTGGGCATGGCTGTTGATCTGTTCCTCTTCGTTGATGACCGTACTTTTCTGCACATCCAGAACAGATCGACCTCCGCGGTACCACCTGGCATATGCACTGTTGGCTTTCGTTGGATCAATCCAGGTGATCTACGTCGTGGCCCAAGAAGTGGTATGTTTGCTCGTTACACTGGGACTTGTGCTGAAGCTTTCGAAATCGATGCTTGGCCTCTCGGTGCTGGCCTGGGGTAACAGCATTGGAGATCTATTTTCAAACATTACATTGGCGAATAGGGGTTACGGAAAAATGGCTTTTGCTGCCTGTCTGGGAGGGCCTCTATTCAGTAAGACACTGTTAATTGACCAATTTTTAACGGATCATGAATTAAAACGTCTGCATTTTAGATCTTTGCCTAGGCCTTGGAATCACTATGATTTTGAAGGCGTCAGCAGCGGTAGACAACGTGGCCTTTGTAAGTATTCACCCAACCTTAACCTAGCATGAATCATTCTAACAGAAAATTATCCCCACAGTCCCGCGAAGGAGCCTTGGGTGAAAATTGCGAATGGTTCCTCGTTCAGCTCTTGTACACACTCCTGTTTGTGCTGTTGTTGAGCGACTTCCAGGGTCGCCAAAGTACCGGCGTAGTCCTGATCACCATCTATGTCATATTTTTCCTGTTTTGCCTGCTGGGAGAGCTGGAAGTGATTCACCCGTTCGGGACGGATCACTACGACGAATATGTATAATGAAGTGGAAGCTCGCGGGTTTGCACTTTAGTCTTAAGTGTTGCGCCTTTAGTTAGTTCGCGCTCGCTCGTTTTCGCGAAAGCTTGCTCGATTTCATACTTGCTGCATTTGGCTCACAGACACTGTTCACGGCATGTATGTGCCAAAAGACAGTAGGTGCGTGGACTTTCGAATTAAAGGTCACAATTTGCAGCTTATCATTAAGGTTGCGCTGCAGCTTGTGAACCGAGTCAGTCAATCAGTCGCGGTTAATAGGTCCGATCGCTTGTAGTGTGTAATTGTGTTGTTTGCTTATTTTGAGAGGATAGCCAAGTTGAGTGGAGAAGGTAGCCTGTCCAAAGTTCAATGAACATATAACTTGTTTTGATAGAAAACTAGTGCCAGGGTTTGTTTTAATAGTAGCAGCAGCAGCAGCAGTATGCCGGCGCAGGTTGTAAATAAAGATCTTCAGAATGAACGCAGCAAGTGTACGTTCAATCAGGAGGAGTTTACTCTCTGGTGGGTGGGTGGAGAGGAGAACCTGAAAGAGAAACGATCGAGAGGTGAGCATAATCGTTGGCTGGTTTGGTTGTTGGTATGCTTATGGTGGATCATGATTCGCAAGGATCGATCTCTGAGAATAGAAAAAAAAGAGCACAATGAACACGGGTTGTATGGAGGGCACACGCCGCGAATGATAATGTTATCATGTCTAAATTTGCACGTAAACATTTAGCAGTCAAGATAAGCTGTACCTTAACAATAACTGTGCTATCAAGAGTAGGATGGTGAACTTATCTCAGACAGTGTATATTTTCGAGTTATCGAAATTTTAGCTAGTCATCTCTGCTTTTATGATAGGATATTTAATGAAAATATATTTTGAATCTTTTCTAAATGATATAAATCTTGATTGAGTTATTAAACTTTAATAAAATTGAAATTTGAACCAGGGGAGTACATAGTTTAGATTGAAGTTGGGTTCATCATTTCGCATAATTGTGTGATCAAAATCCTTCGATGTTCCCCTTCAAGAAACCTACTTCGCCAGTCAGCCAGAGTTCCAGGATATTGTCCCACTTCATTTCGCCTCGCATCAGGAGCTGTACGAGCAAACAATTCGTAAGGCTACGGTCATATTCACCAAAGTGAAGAAACTTCTCACAGATCAAGGGAAATACGACGCCAAGAATTATGTGTAAGTATTTCGTTTTTTGAAGAATTATAGTAGCCCTTAATCTGAATTCTTTCCAGCCACTTCATGGAAGCGCTGCTGGGATCGGGTTTCATCAAGGAAGGGAACCCACTGGGATTACACTTTTCCATGTTCATTCCGGCGATCGTGGGTCATGGAAGTCCAGAACAACAGGAGCGCTACCTCAACAAGGCCCTGAATTGTGAATTTATTGGATCCTATGCACAGACGGAACTTGGACATGGGACATTCCTACGAGGACTGGAAACGACGGCCACTTTCGATCCGGAGACGGATGAAATTGTGATCAACAGTCCAACGTTGACTGCGTACAAGTGGTGGCCTGGAGCGTGTGAGTTATTTTCTTCAATTAATGCATCTTCACAAATCAAAATTTGATATCGTTTCAGTGGCCCAAACCGTCAACCATTGCATTGTGATGGCTCAACTCTATTCCAATGGAAAATGCTACGGCATTCATCCGTTTATGCTACAGGTTCGTGATTCGGAAAACCACATGCCATTGCCAGGCATTGATATTGGGGACATAGGAGACAAAATGGGTTACAAGGGTGTTAACAACGGTTATCTGGGAATGAAAAATGTTCGTATTCCCCGTACGAACATGATGATGAAGAACGCCAAACTGTTCCGGGATGGAACTTATGTGAAACCATCTTCGTCGGTGTTGGCCTACGGTACGATGGTGTTTGTGAGGGTCATTATAGTTAAGAATATGGCTCAGTCGTTAGCCAAAACAGCTACCATTGCTGTGCGATACTCTAGCGTAAGGCGACAAAGTCCAATCAATCCTAAGTAAGTTGAATGTTTCGTAAATTATGAAAATTGTGTAACAATTGATGTTTTTTGTGACAGTCAACCAGAGGTTCAAGTAATCGACCACGTGACGCAACAAGCCAAGCTGTTTCCAGTGCTAGCGAAGGCAATTGCCCTTAAGCTAACATCTGATAGCCTGTGGGAAATGTACGAACAAACGACGTCCGAGTTGAACTCCGGCAGTCTGGATCGTCTACCGGAGTTGCATGCAATTGCTTGTTGTTTGAAGGTCGTCTCCACATCAGATACCGCAACTGGAGTAGAGGTGTGTCGTCTGGCTTGCGGAGGACACGGATACCTGACCTGTGCGAACTTCTTGAACTACTACAGTTTGGCATCGGCTGCATCCACGTATGAAGGTGAGAACACTGTTCTGCTGCTGCAGACTGCAAGGTAAGTTCTACAAGTAGGACTAAACCTAATAAAATAAGCTCATTTTTGGTGTGAAATTTTCAAGATACCTAGTGAAAATGTGGAACCAAGCCGTCAAGGGTCAACCACTGATGCCAACGGTTCAGTACCTGAAAGACTACGTCGGAAGCGCGGTCAAACAATTCCCATGGAGTAACTCGCTGGCGGTTATCATTTCTGCATTCCAAGCTGTAATTGCCAACAAGCTTCGGCTGGCTTGCCAGCGTATTGAACAGCGCAAAGCTGGTGGATCTACTCCGGAGGAAGCTACCAACATGACCGCACTGGAGTTGATTCGAGTGGCCGATATTCATGGACGGTGGTTTGTGCTGCAGTCGGCGTACGAGATGTACGAGAAGGCCTGCCAGAAGGCGTCGCCACAGATGGCTTCGGTGATGCAAGAGCTCTGCAAGCTAGTGGTGTACGACGAAGCGCTGAAAATCAGTGGAGATTTGTTGAGGGTGAGTCGGTTGGTTTAGCAAAGTTGGGTCTATTTTCAAGAGATTTGACGTAATTCTATGCAGCTGAAACTATTTTAATATAGATAACGGTTTATAGAAAGTATATTTGCTAAAGCCTTGGTGCGCATATACTACTGCATAATTGCGTTAGATAATGGTACGGTTGTCATAATGGACGTTAGGCATAATGCAACAATCACATGCTATATCGCTCGGCTTTCAAATGTAAGTTCTGTAACGCAAAACTGGAGCTTGAGCTTGGATGACCATACATTTCGTAGTTTCTACTCCGTGATTGACAAGCTCCAGGAAAATTGCACAGAGATTCAAATGAATGTTGGAATGAGCTTCTCTATGTACACTCGCAAAACACAAAAATCGGTTCCCATGTTAGGGAACGGGAGGCGAATATGGGATATAGGGGAATTTACGTATTCTCGTCAATCTAAGCAGCGTCAGCATTTCTATTAGCATTTTCTCAGCTTCACGCACATATATGACGTGTTTGTTTGTTAGCATGTATCTGCTGCTTGCTTCTCTATCCAATCAAATCAACAGAATTGTTCAAAACTGTTTGAAAGCGTTTTTACAACGCTCCAAACTACTCAGGTGAGTGTGACTATTGTCGACAGCACCTTTTTCTTAGGCAACATTTGCATTTGAACTGCGTGTTAACTAGCTGTTCTATTATCGGCATCTCCAAATCAACCGCATTTTGTAGTGTGTATATTTCATTTAAAGAGAAATATGACCTAACAGGATTACTCAGTAATGGGTCTGGGTTCAATCCCAGTCGAGGTCGGTGGGATTTTTCTGAGGCATAAAAATCTCTGGTCACGTCTTCCTTCGGAAGGAAAGTAAAGCCGTTAGTCCCGGCCCATGTGTGTTAATGAATGGGTGCGATATCCTACGCAGGTGTGGTAGCTGCCTTCCTGCACATTCTATTGCCGTCAATGGATGGCAATCGATGTCCGTCGGTGATTGGCACTAGATTGCGGAACAGAGACCGACGTTAAATAAAGGAAAGAAGAAGAAGGATTACTCAGTCTCAAAAATGTAATCAGATTGAAGCTGAAAGACTAATCAATCGTTTGAATACATTCACCGAAGTGTTTTGATGGCAAAATACAGTGAAATTAACGTTTAAATTTTGGATGCCGAAAACAGTCAATGGGTGCCGAAGCCGACATTTAACCTAATAGCGAAGACTACAAATCAAAAAGACTGGCAACTCTGCCAAAAATCAGGAGACAGTAAGTTTCTTTTTTACTCTACGAGTAAAATTCCAGCTGAAATTGAACAGATGCGTAAGTAAATTTGTTTTGAAAATTAAAATCATGGCAATGATGCCATTCACAATGATGGTGGGACCTTCCTCGATCATTAATTGCTCGTTCCGCATGGCTTTGGCACCTGGCCACAATGGAGGAAGCTAAGTTGTGACGCTCGACAACTTGGCACAGTAGTTGCTGACCATTTGAATGTCACTGGCCAATCCGACACTGTTGTTATCATACTCTGGAAGAGGTCGGTCGATTCCAAGAATTGTTAAAGCATACAGAGGATCACTATCCGGTGGTTTTATATTCTGACTACATCTAAAATGGAAATATATTCTTTATCAATAGGTACCGTTTGGGATTGTAGTCCTAGTAGTGAAGGTACCGAATCTTTCTTCTTTTTGAATCCTTGAATTTTGAGCAGCTTCCGAATGATGGAAGTTTACTCAATGGTGGTGGAAGCTGCTAATTCCTGATTGTTTCCAACAGGAAAAATAAACAATATTGTTGCAATCCTCTACTTGATTCACCATGACGAGTTTTTCGGTTTGGAGTTGGAAAACCACCGGCTTGCTGGGATTAGGATACAAATTACCGTGAAATTTTGTAGAGCAAAACAAAAACAACAACGAGTACCGTGTTATAATTATTCGTTTCGGTGACATAAGGTTACACACACACAGTCTTTGTTTATGAGCAGTCTCACTAACACTTGTGCTTCAAAGTTCCACCTTTGATTGACAGAGGCGCTGTTATCAGTGACGTTTAACATTTGAATGGGAGAAGGGAACAGTTGCCAGTCTTCTTGATTTATAGTCTTCGCTAATAGATTAATAGACGAATCTTCTCCCAACAAACTACCCAACAAACAATCGTCTATTAAAGAAACCACTTCTTGGCCATTTTATTCAACTGCATGCTTAATAGTACTTGTACTATTTTTAATAATAACTTCTGTTCAGGCTTTGTTCACACAAATCTGGAGAATTTATTCAACCACAACATTGAACTACTGGTGTTGTATAAGGTATGTCGAGAAGCTTTTATTTGACTTATATGTGTTGTAACAGAGTTTATACGATAAAATTTTTGATTATTCAGCGTTTATTAGACATCACTGCTTCCTTAAAACAGTGATGCTCTGTTTACGCTTGATTCTCATGTGAAGTAACGTTTAATTAGACATTATTATACATTTATTAAACGATTATTCAACTGTGGGAAAATTAACCCGAAAATAAGTGGACAGGTGACAGGGACAGGGAAGGGTGTGTGTGTTTTTTAAATGCATTGTATTTCAATATTTCTGACGTGGCTCGCACCACACAGATATTAGAAAATTTATTAAATACTTATACATGCCGTTGTATGGGAATCGAACCATGTACCTTCCGATTACCAGTCGCTTGCCTTGTCATCTGAGCTATCCTAGATTTCATCATATGGGCAAATCAATAATCTATAAAAGCTTGCATTAAAATAAATACCTATCAGCACTCCCGATCGCAACTCTAGCTCCTTCAAGGCCCTGTGGGAATGATTAATTCATTCATCGTTGTTATAAATGAGACCAATGTTGCCTCTTCACATCTTCAAGTCGAAAGAAAGGATGCTCGGTTATATTTTGAACTAGATCAATGCATTCATTATCGTGAGTCATGTGATCGATGATTACTATTTAAATTAATTATGTTCTACACAAATAAAAAAAAGGGTTGAGCTTGGGATTGAACTCACGACCTTTTAATTGGAAAGCGGAAACGGTAACCACTACTCTACTGAGTTCGCCAGGTGAACTTCGCCTTGTTGTAAGACTGAATCAGTGTTGTCGAAAAATGAATCTAATAAGTCGTTTATAAAGCATTTACAAATCATGTGATAACAACATGAACGCATAGTGGTATAAGAGCTATTATGCTGACTGTATTCACCTTTATTCAGCAACATTGTAAAGTAATGCAATGCAATCTAATAAAGGTGTTGGAGAACATTTATTAGACGTCTAATAAAGCATGTTATTAAATCACTTGAAAATAGTCGAATTAAAGTGTCAATGTATGTACAAATTACACTTATTCAGTTTGTTATTAAATCGAACTTTTGGCGTTGAATTGGGAAGACATTTAACACTTTTTCAGCGTTTAATAAGTAAATTAATAAGATCAGAGCAAACAGTGGAACAATGAGCTTTTTCAGCACATAATTCGACAACTCTTTTTATTCAGCATTGTACACTGTTATACAGCATTTATTCAATATATATGCTTATTTGTGACTTTGAATTGTTTGTTGGGTGGTATAAGAGCTATTTTGCTGAGTGTATTCACCTTTATACAGCAATATTGAAAAGCAATGCAATGAAATCTAATAATGGAGCTAGAAAACATTTATAAGACGTTTAATAAAGCACTTTATTCAATCATTTGAAAACAGTCGAATAAAAGCGACAATGTATGTGCAAATTACACTTATTCAGTTTGTTATTAGATCAAACTTCTGGTTCTGAATCAGGAAGACAGTCAACGTTTATAAAGCTTTTAATAAGTAAATTAATCATTTCAGAGCAAACGGCGGAATAAAAGCGAATCTATCGATCTCAATGAGCTTTTTTCAGCACATAATTCGACATTCTGTTTTATTCAGCATTATACACTGTTATACAGCATTTATTCAATGTGTATGCTTATTTGTGACTTTGAATTGTTTGTTGGGTATATCTCTAAAATCAACGGTTGGGATGCAATTCAAAAAGCGCTCAAAAACGGCAAAAAGAAACACTGGTGCATTAGGAGAAATATTCCATTTTCGTAAATAGGAAGAGAAAATATCTAAACTTTTCTGCAGTCTGCTGCAAATAACACGAAAACTTCTTCCGTCAGCGGAAATGCCTGTATCATCGGCGAAAAAAGATTTGAGACAAATCAAGGAGGTCCGATGTGAAAATGTTTTACCATATATTCCCAAGAATGCTACCTTTAGGAACTCCTGCTCTAACAGGTAGTTGATCAGATTTGAAATTTTGATAATTTACCTGCAGAGTTCTGTCAGTTTAATAATGTTTGTACTAATTTCGTAATATAGAGTGGAAAATTAAACTTTTTCAATTTAGCAATCAAACTTTCATGCCAAACACTGTCGAATGCTTTTTCTATGTCTAGAAGAGCAACTCCATTTGATCAGCCTTCAGATTTGTTTGAACGAATAACGTGTTTTGTAATTATTTATGAGCAAAGTAGGCTTTATAATGAAGGTCAAAGTTTGTCGTGTGAGTGTGTAAAGTGCTTTTATCAAGTTTTTTTTTTAAATTTAGGCCTTGACTGTACTTTTTTTTACTCCAGATCACGGAATAATAAAAAAGGCCTTAAAGCTTAGTATTAAAGATTGTAAGAAATTATTTTTGACGTGGGACTACGTCTTTGATTTCTATATGGGGGTACACTTTGTGAAAACTGAAAATGAAACATGTAACAAATTAAGAAAGATTTTGAACGTTAATAACTCAGCTGCCCCTGGTCCAATTTCAATAATTTTATCACCAATCGATCAGAAATATGGCTACGATAACAATGCTTTCGAATGTTGATTTTCAACAAGAAACTATTGAAAAACTGGTAAATTTCCAGCATTGTCCAAGAGCGTCAAATTAACTAACAAATCCACCAATTGCCTACATGCATATGCTGCTTCCCCAGCACAGTCGTCAGAGAGTAGTAAGTAGACGAAACAAGTCGAAGTGGCGTTCGCCTCCGATCCTCGGGCGCGTGCGAATAGGGAGGATGGAATTGCGTAATATGTTGCACACTCATCCCCATACTCAAACCCACACGCTCCCAACGATCACACCACTGTGTGGTGGTGTTCGGTCGTCGAAATTAGTAGCAGCAGTAGCAGTGCTTTCGGCGTGTGGCGTTGAAAATTGTTCTCCAGTAACAACGAAAGGCTGCCTGTAAGCAGCGAGCTGCATAGCCCACATAAGCAACCATCAAAGGAGGAAGAAGCTGCACCGCTATGCTATGGATCGGAATCAGTAGCTCCTCGTGAGTCACTGCGGGTCGGTCATCTATGCCAAGCGTGTCAACCTCGCTTCAAACGACATACAGCTAGACAGCCTCATCCGTGTTGAACACCCAGCTCAGAATTACTCAACCATCACTACAAAACGGTCCTTTTCAGGGCTAACAAAAATTTGTTAAAGAGTATTATTTGGACATTGGTCAAGGTTATCAGTTCCCGCAAGCAGCTAGCCATCAAGGCTCAACCTGTCTATAGAAGGTGTGGAATTGTAGGCCTGAATATATTGGTGCAATTAGTTTTTCCTCGGCTTTCATTCCGCACGATTCGTTTCTTTCGTTTAATCAATCACCCTTGCAGTGACGTCGAAAAGATTGTTTCAATCGGCGCTGACATATGAAATTTAATGTGGATCATAGAATTTTTTGTATGTTACCAAAATTTATTTATTTGTTAAGTCGCCGGGAAATACAAGCTGGCGATTTGTTTTTTTATGATAACTCCTTACTTGAAAACAGGCAAAAACTCACAAACAGGCTGATTTTTCATGGTATACAGTGTGATAATTCAATAATCAATAAATTATCTCAACATTTAGTGGCAAACACTAAATGTTGAGATAATTTATTGATTATTGAATTATCACACTGTATACCATGAAAAATCAGCCTGTTTGTGAGTTTTTGCCTGTTTTCAAGTAAGGAGTTATCATAAAAAACAAATCGCCAGCTCGTATTTCCCGGCGACTTTACAAATAAATAAAATCAAACAAAATCATCATGCAGAACTAGCAAGGATTTGTTTTACTTCATGCGTTATGTTAAGACATCGTCTCCCGCAAAGTCTACATTTTGCCCTCTACCAACACATACATCAGGGCTAGATAGATCTACACAGGATCTATAGAATCCACGCAATTTCAAAAAACCAAAATGCACAGCATTACGAAAAGAGGTCAGGTTTCGACCAATAGCACATAGATTTTAATTCTAAACAAGCCAAACGATTGGAAATTTATCTACCAATCTGCTAAAATGAACACTTAGTTAATTTTCAATAGGTCACTATTGAAAAATAGCAAATGTCCAACTGTTGCAATGGTGATCAAAATTATCACCGAATGTCTGAAAACAGCGCATTCCCTAACACAGACTTAAAAATCGAATTCGATGCGGTCCCACTGAACGGTGCTCATTCAATCACCGTAAGTGGTGGTGTCCAGTCCAGCAGCAGCAGTAGTAGTAGCAGCAGCAGCAGCAGGAGTGCTTTCAACAACAACACAACGAAAGGCTGCCTGCAAGCAGCGAGCTGCAGAGCTCATATGAGCAACCATAGAGAAGGAGGAAGAAGTCCCACCGCTAGGCTAGGATCGGAATCAGTAGCTCGTCGTGCTCAGTTCAGCATTACTCAACCATCATAAATTTGTTGAGAGTATTATTTAGACATTTGTCAAGGTCATCAGTTCCCGCAAGCAGCTAGCTATCAAGGCTCAACTTGCTCTCTATATAAGGTGTGGAATTGTAGGTCCGAATGTATTGGTGAGATTAATCATCGTCCGACCATTTTCCAGAACACGCTGGTAGGAAGTGTTAAAAATCCATATAATTTGAGAGAAGTGGGAATAATTCGCTTTGGGTGTATATTCAGTCCCCAGAAAGCCAATAAAATCAAATTTGTGAGAAAATTAGCTCTCACGAGTTCAATCTCTCGAAGTCCCTCCTTTTTTACATATTCTGCACAAACGATACTTTCCGCCCTGCCCCATTCATATAATTCGGAAGGAAATCCTGTGAGGGGTGAATTGAATCCACTTTAATACCAAAATGCACAAAACACTCAAGTTGACAGTCCCTTGGATTCTCTTCATCAACTTTCTGTTTGAAATAAATACTACAAATTTGATACGCTTACAAATAAAAAACGGAAAGTGTTAAGATAATTGATGATTGATCAATTGCGAAAAAGAACTAAATGTTCACAGGCCCTTCTACTTTTTTTTTAGAACACAATCTTAGACAATTTTTTTTAGAAATTTTTGACCTAGAAAAAGATTACAATACAAGATAACCAAGCACCCGGGCTTGATAATAAAAAAATCAAGATTGGTAATTTAATTTAATTATGCCCTATAAGTCTGAAGAATGTAACGATTAATTGGACATAATTCTCCAAACGCGACCCGACCCGTAGTTATTAATAATCATTATTCCTATTGTTTAATAATCATGCATGTAAAAATTCAAAGTGTGAAATTCACAACTTCGGACCGATAAAGACTTAGACCAACAACGCTTAAATATTCTAAATTGATCCATTGGTGCAATTCAATAAAACTATTTATTGCCAACTCTTTTGACGCAGTTCACCACGATGACCGAGAGTGATCTGATCCAGTTGCAGCAGAACTTTGAAGGATGCCTCGAGGCTCTTCGCCCGAATGCCGTTGGAATTGTGGATGCCTTCGATTATCCGGATTTCGTACTGGGCTCGGCGCTCGGAGCGTATGATGGAAACGTGTACGAGCGACTGTTTGAAGAGGCCATGAAGAGTCCGCTGAATCAGGTGCGTAAGAGGGCGTTGTCATATGAGGGGTAGTTCAACATGTTTGAAAGTTTTCCATTGTAGGAACCGGTTAACAGAACGTTCGAGCTTTACCTGAAACCATTGATGAAGTCAAGGCTGTGAGGACATATCATTGATGTTCATTTCTATAAATCATACATACTTTGTGAGGGGTAATGGGTGCAATAAAACAGCGGTAATCGTAATTTAACTGAACTTGTTTTTCTTTATTATTAAACATTAATAATGCAGAAGAGTACTGAGAAAAAAACCTGTTCAATAATTCTTACGCAGAGAAGAACAATGCTACAATACAATGTAATAAGTAATAAGATCAATGATTTAAAAAAAACAGATCGTTTGAGATTTCCAAAATAATCCAAAGTTAAAAATACTAATAGGTTTGGCCGCAGCTTTTCGTTACACCTTTGTGTTGTTTGTTATTCTAACCTGGAAATTTATGCGCGTTGAAATACGCGATGGCAGCTACATAAATACAAATGATGATTGCTTTGCTAGTGTATAAACAAACGAGCTTGTTTGTGTTCAACTGTTACAGTAGTTTTAAGAAAAATAGCAATTCAAGGTCGTTACTAAAACTAAAACTGCTGTCAAAAATAACAATACGTGTTGCAAATCACGTCCGCCGAAACGATGTATCGCTGCTCTTTTTCTTTTCTTCTAAAAGTATATGTTTACAAAAGAATGGTGACTTTTTTTTTATTAAGAAAAATGTTAACAGTATAAGAGTTAGATGGGCTTTGCGCGGTTGTTTTTGTTGTTGTTACAACTCGGAGTGACGACGATAATGAATGGGTGATGCAAACGAGGTTGTTAGCTTTAGCCAGTCATCATCTCCATGAATTCTGAAACGGGAAATTGATGGGAAAAAAAAGAGAAGAAATCATTAGCGAAAGTGCGAAAATTGCTGTCCGTCAGCGAATAAAGCACCATGTGGTCACATAATAAATACAGTGGATTAGGTTTGTTTTGACGTCGGTCTCTGTGATGGGAGTTGCGTATGGCAAAAAGGAGGTCGATGTGTTTCCTTTCTCCGGCCCGGTCACGTGGTGAGTCAGCATGGCTCGGTTAAAGTGGCCAAGGACGGTGCGACACAAGTATGTATGACGAAGTGTCAGCAGCTGCCGGACTGTGGATTGGTTTTTGATTTTCGGAGCGTGCGTTGCTCATGGACGCTCATGGAGGCGCATGGTTGAGATAAATTGACCGAGAAGGTGTGGAGAAGAGAAAATTGGTGGATCTTCTGTGGTTGACACAGTCGGAAGATTTTTTTTATCGGTTTAAGTTGGTGGGAGTGTTTGGTTTGAGGATGACAGTGAATCAAAAATAGAAGCAACGATTCGTAGAATTGAGAGCACCGTAAGTCGGAGAAAGGATAAGGGGTCGCGAAATATTCGTTTATTGTTGAAAATGCAAAACTGCTTCTGGCGGCTCAACTTGACCTACGGGTGTTCTTGGGTCTATTAGCCATTGAAACGCCATTGGGATTCTCTTTGGCCTATTGAACGGAAAGAAAAGTGAATTCGCATGCGCCTTTTGTTTTCGAGATCGTTCTTCAACACTTCGTCTTGCAGCTGTTGTATAGAAACACGTTCACGCCAAAATCATAGATATATTTGATGTTTTGTGCTCGATAGGTCGGGAATGGGCGATTAGGCCGAAGTAGATTTTTCCCCTACTATAGACCATTAAAACTTAGCCTTTTGTGGCCATCTTGAAAACAAAGGCTTGATAATGCAGATTTCAAAATGTTGATGATGCCGAGTTATTAACGATATAGAGAGTCTATGAAGAAAATTGATCAATGTAGATTGTTCTGTTTGAAAAGTGACCAGAGAAAAATGTCTTTATATGGCCGTGGGGGGGATGCAAAGAGAAAATCGATGAGGAGAATCTGTCAATGTTAAGGAACTAATCCATTTTTCGACCAAACCAAACCTGAGACTTAGATTGAGAAAACTACTGCCGGCGCCGGTGATGTAGTGGTAAGCGTGATTGCTTTCTCACCACAATGGATCTGGGTTCAATCCCAGCCGAGGTCGGTGGTCTGAGGCATAAAAATCTCTGGTCACGTCTTCCTTCGGAAGGAAAGTAAAACCACTGTTCACCGGCCCATGTGTGCTGTTGAAGGGTACGATATCCTTTATTGAAGCTGCCTCCCTGCATCAATGGATGGCAATCGATGTCCGTCGGTGATTGCACGCTATTTCAAAACTACCCAAATTTGGGTAGAATCCACCCAGATCGGTCAAAACTGAACCTACCCAAAAATGGGTAAACTGTGTTGGGAGTGACAAGTTGACAAATGAACAACATCGACATGAATCTGATCAACGTTGTTCATTTGTCAACTTGTCACTGCCAACACAGTTCACCCATTTTTGGGTAGGTTCAGTTTTGACCGATCTTGGTGGATTCTACCCAAATTTGGGTAGTTTTGAAATAGCGTGTGGCAGTAGATTGCTGAACAGCGACCGACATTAAATAAAGGAAAGAACAGAAAAAGAAGAGAAAACTATGCAGGACAACTTTTTTGAAGCCCGCAAATCGATTTGTGGTACCCCTACCATCCCATGCCCCAGCTTGGACTTCCGGCCGTTCGGAACAAATTGGTTGGTAGTAGGATCAATATCATAATGATATTGAACCTACTACCAGTTGATTTGTTTTATTCGGATGTAGATCCAGAGCCAAAGTGCGGAATGCTTACTATGCCCCTCCTTCCCCTACCTATTCGACAAAGTTTTGCTGCATATAGTTTTCCTAATCTGGCCAAAATTGAGCTATTTTTTTAATTTTTGATAATCAAATGCTAAGTTTCACTGCGTTTCAAAGTTCTCCCGCATCCAGATCCTAAAAACCAAATTTGTTCGAATTTGATGCAATTGACTCATCCCGTTTATCATACTAGAAACAAATGTTTATGTACAAAAATGTACTCGTTGAACAATCGATCAAAGCAATCAATAAACAGACTGGTGCACGCTTGATTATCCCCGCTAGTCAAAACAAATCTGCGCCTACTCGGATCAGCGTAAAATCCCTCAACGCAACGTTTCTTCTTATTTTCCTATTCACCGCCGACTACCGATTGAAACGATTGAAATTCGAAAATGCTTTGAATATCCAAACCGTTTACGATTTATTTACGAGTAATTTACTTTCTCCTTGGTCGCCTATCCATCCAGGACCGTTTAAATGTCCATTTGGTCGGATGCCAAATTTCCCCCATTTTGTCATGAATTCACAACCCTTTGGAAAGTGAGGTGCGCGTGGTAGTTTCCAAATAACCCATTTCGGTTGGTTCCATCCACTCGAAGTCGGTCTGCCGTTTCGGTTGCTCCCAATGCGATTTCCTCGAATAGGTACGTAAACAGGTCCGAAGCGAAATATAAAAATAAACGATTGGATTGACTTATCCGGAACACACGAGCGTTCTTGGTTTCGGTTTCGAAAGCAGCTGTATCTCAAGGGGTTTATGTTGGTTGGCCGCAAGGTGCAATTGACGGAGATGTTTGTTTACTCCGCCTACGATCTAATAATTGTTTGAATGGGTTTGTTGAGTTTTCCGAACCGACATTCAATGTCGTCGATGACGTAAACAAACCATCATTCGCTTCTTCGATTAGGGGAGGTTTTATGATTCACAATTTATGGCCTATTTCAAGTGGGTACCTACCGTCGAAGTCAACCGTTCCCGAACCGTCGGAGTCGATTTCCTCGATCATCATGTCCAGGTCCTCCTCGGAGAGCTGATCGTCCAGTTCCCGGAGGATTTCGCGTAGGCAGGAGGTGGGGATAAAGCCATTTCCTTCCTTGTCGTACAGACGGAAGGCCTCTCGCAGCTCCTTCTGCAGCGCTTCCTCGTCCTCCTCAACGATGAACTTGGCTGCTAGCTGGACGAATTCTTCGAATTCAATCTGGCCGGATTCTACAAAGTGTTACAAAGTGTCACGCCTTAGTCGTTCGATTTTTTTTTGGATTCTAGCTATTAGATATAGTCAACACTCACTGTCTTCGTCAACCTCTTCGATCATCTCCTCGAGGATTTTGCTGTTGAAGGGTTGTCCCATCAGTCGGAGGATCTCGGCGACCGTGTCGGACGAGATGCTGCCAGTCTTTTCGCGGTCGAAACTGTTGAACGCCTTTTGCAGGACTGCGGGTTGGAGACGGAAAGAGGGAGAGAAAGGTGAGATGATGAGCTTGGTGAAATTCGGTCATACATTAAGTCAGACGTTATATTGCTAGATAGGATAGAAAGTGATGGACGCAAACGTGATTGGTGATGGTAATTATTTTGACACCTTCCTATTTGTTACAACGTTTTTGGTGGATTTGGGCTATCGCCAAAAGAGTTCACTGCATTTTCTGTTTTTATCTGTCGATGGAATCGTGGTTTGAGGTGTACAGTATGTTTGGGATGTGGAAAAATCACCTTCATTCTAACCTAAGGCGTGATTTTTTTTATAATATGTTGGTTGGCTGTATCATTATTAGAAATAATAATTATTAGACAATCCGTTATAATTATTAGACAATCCGTTGCATTGAACTTTTCGTATTTTACGAGTGATTACACAGTCTCTCAAACACCTGAGGAACAAGAAAACGTCTCCATACGGGGTACGATTTGGCGCACGAAGAGTATTATTCCTAGGAGGCTGACTAAAGTTCTAATTACATAGAGTTTTCTGTCGATAAGAAGTAGATTTTTCGAAGTGATCACCAGACGAAGAAAGCATTTATGTACACGCCAGCACGCTCAATCCTAACCCCCTTTGTGAAAGGGGACGAAACGATTATCTTCACGATAGTGCATCGTATCGAAGCTAGACGGAGGATGGAAAAGACCATCAGTAGCCGGATGTTACAATCGATGGCGAGTAAAAAGGATTAGCATCGTGAGAACGTGAGGAATGCCGACGAAAGAACACGACCGGGTGCCGGAAGTTATCACTCGCTGTCAATACCGGAGGATGCTTCCCGTTCGAAGAGAACCCGTTCGCAGGTTACCTTCCACTATTCGATCAATTTAGAAGAACTTGAACGAGTCAACTCTATTAAAGACCTAGGAGTGACGATGGATAGTAGGAGATCGAAGTAGGCTCTGCTAGTGGACAATGGATTCATTTTTAATATTTTTTTTTTTTTTTTTTTTTTTTTTTAATTCTTTATTTAAGAGAATTTTTAATATGAACTTCTAGTAACCCTACAATCATGAGAAAATAGTGTTTCTCCAGAGATGAGGAGACCAGAAACGATGTTATATAAGAGACGTGCGGAGAGAATTAAAGTAAATCTGGTTGCACGGCCAACTAATTTATTTTTCTGCAAGATTTGGCAACCCGCAGTTTTGTGTTTCCTTAAAATGATTTTTAATTTGAGCGACTGTCGTCTGCTTCAGCATTACGGTAAAATGAATACTTTTTTAACCATATCGGTAGTACGGAAGACTCAATTTTTGACAACTCTGAGTGAAACCAAATATACCACATTGGAGGGTATATTCTACAGCGCGTTGCACAAAATTATTCAATCTGCAATTTTGGCTTCAGTCTTCGCGCGTCTCTTATTCAACATCGTCTCTGGAGTAGGGTTACCATGTCAAAAAATGGAAAAGGAGGACATTTCATTTGAGGTTTGGAGACTAAGGAGGACAATGATTCCTTTTCTTAACATTAAATGAGGACAATGAGTTTTTATCAAACGTTTTAATAATATGTGCGCTATCACATAATTCATGATATGCAAAGGTTCAATTGAGATTGTTCATAATTTGTAGTCGTTACCAATTCAATTCATCTTCTCGTTATACTTCTGAAAAATGCATCAAACTAGCCTTCATAATTCATCGATGATTGAAACCAACATGGAACATCTAAGCAACCTGTTAATTTTACCATTGATTCAGCATAGGCCGCTGTCATAGTGGGAGCGAAGAGGCGTGATTAGCGTACTATTTATAGAACCAGAACGTCAAAATCGAACACATGTTAGATTCAATATGTGTGGCTGTATTCCACTTGGTGAATTTTAACTTAAATTTGACAGATATGAAATTTTCGAATAAACCTGCTATTGTACCAGACTTATTTCTGGCAAACCAGGAATCAAATTTGACAAACACCTTCTCAAAAATCACACGATGAACAACAGATAGATTTTCGAACATTATAATTTATTTTTGAAATGTCAAATTTTAGTAAAATAAATTATAATGTTCATAAATCCATCTGTTTTCAAGATTTTCAAGAAATTATTTGTCAAAATTGATTCCTGGTTTGTCTGAAATAAATCTGTTACAATAGCAGGTTTATTTGAAAATTTTCCATCTGTCAAATATAAGTTAAAATTCACCAAATTAGCCGCACCCAAAATGCAGGGCGGTTCACAGCTGTAGTTGCTCCTAGTCCCACCTTCGAATGGCATTTGCTAGATAAGATTAGGTTGTGACAAAATTAAACAAATAAGCTCTGTAAACAACGCTCTTTGAAAACAATTTTATGAATATGTTACTGTAAAAAATGAAAGTACTAAAAAGGAGGACATTTTCAGGCAAAAGGAGGATGTAGAAACATTATTGAAAAAGGAGGACATGTCCTCCTTCAGAATACCATATGGTAACCCAACTCTGGAGGAGACGAACGTGGAGCGGAGTGGAGCGAAAACGAACCACTTTTCTGCCAATCGCGAACCAGCTCGTGATTGGTTGATTTGTAGTACGTAAGATAGAGATAGAGATAGATATAAAATAGTAAGAAGGCAGTTGTCTTCTCTTCCTCTCAGGTGTTTCTGATAGTCTAATAGACCTTTTTGACGTTTAATAAGCCCTATGGTAATTGAAAGTAGAGCTGTTGGGATTACAAATTATTTCTTGGGATATTTCAAAAGTTACTGGAAGGTGATCAGAACCGAAGTCAGCATGGGTAACCAGTTGGCTACAAAGTTGACATGGATCAGTTAAGACCAAATCAATAGTGGAGGGATTTCTTGCAGAAGCAAAGCATGTTGGGCTGTTTGGATATTGAATAGTGTAATAACCTGCAGAACAATCATCAAACAGAATATTACCATTGGAATTGCTTTGAGCATTATTCCATGAGCGGTGTTTTGCATTAAAATCACCAATAATGAAGAATTTAGACCTATGACGGGTAAGTTTCTGGAGGTCACCCTTGAGAAAATTCTTTTGCTGGCCTACGCATTGGAATGGCAAATAGGCAGCTATAAACGTAAGTTGTCCAAATTTTGTTTCAACAGAAACTCCCAAAGTTTCAAATGAAGAAAGAATTTTATGTTTGATTCGTCTATGAATAATGATGGCAACGCCACCACAGGGTCCATCAAGACGATCATTTCTATAAATCAAGTAATTTGCGTCCTTCTTTACCTTATGGTAAGGTTTATGGAACGTTTCAGTTATAACGGTAATATGCACGTTATGAACTCTCAAAAAGTTAAATAGCTCGTCTTCATTATCTTTAAGAGATCGAGCATTCCAATTTACAATATTTAATGCTTTAAAATCCATTACTGAATTCTAAAGTCATGACAATATTATTTGCAAATTTTACTCCAGTTTGAATAGCATCAAACATGGAGTTAGATTTAAGCATATCAGAAATCATGTCAATTAATGATTTCTGTAAAAATTCCATTTTAGGGGCAGTAATGCTTCCTCAAAATTGTCAAAATTTCCGTTAGATTTACTTTGGTTAGTATTTTGATTTCTACCCGCTGCAATAGCAGCATAGGTAGCTCCATTAACTCGCTGAACATTGTTAGCAGCGAGGGGAGTAGGTACAGATGAAAAATTTGAAGCAGGAGTGATATTTGTACCTACGGGTACGAATGTAGAATTTGTTCCTCGCTGACCGTTGTTAACAGCAGAGGAATTTGTACCTGGTCGGAAACGTGGAGTGTTTCTTACCTGTCGGTTAGAACGAGATTGTAGGATCGCTTTGCGAGTCTTACATTCCCAAAAATTGGATGTGTGATTTTCACCACAATTTGAACATTTAAATTTCTTAGGATCTTCCTTCACAGGACAGTCGTCCTTTGCGTGAGAGGAATCACCACAATTCATGCATTTAGCTGGCATGTAGCAATTTTTAGTTTCGTGACCCCATCCCTGGCACTTACGGCACTGAGTGAGGTTTTGGAAATTTCCTCCAGTCTTCCTGAAGTGTTCCCACTTCACTCGGACATGGAGCATTAGGCTACCTTTTTCTAAGGCCTTAAGGTTGTTCAGTTCACTAGACTTGAAGTGAACTAAATAAAAATCATTAGAAATCCCGTTGCGCGAATCGCCAGGACGGGATTTCATTTTCATTTTGATTACTTGGAGTGGCACAACTCCAAGTAATTTTGCCAGTTCATCTTTGATCTGATCCAGGGATTCACCACTGGGCAGTCCTTTCATGACAACCTTGAACACACGTTCAGTTTTGGTGTCGTAAGTAAAAAAATTGTGCTTCTTCTCAGTAAGATACTTGAGAAGACATTTAAATCCGTCCAAGGTTTCAGCCAATACACGGCATTCACCCCGACGTCCAATTTGTAGAGAAAACTTAACTTTCACGAAGTTCAAAAGTTCCATGCGAAGAGCATGGAGATCGGAAATGGTTATCACAATAGGGGGAATCTTTTCCTTCTTGGCATTAAGCCGGGAAAGTTTACTAGAATTTTTCTTGGATGATGGATCATTCTCATCATCCGTGAGCAAATCAAATTGATTACTCAAATTAATTTCTTCAGAAGGGGGGTCAAGAGTTTGCCCCTTTCTTTTGCGTTTAGGCGCCATGGCGGCAGTAAATTTTTATCCAAATCGACTTCCAAGCAGATTACTATAAGAATCTGAAGGATCGAAGAGGAATTTTCCAAATCGATATCCAAGAAGGATTACCTCGGGTAGGGTCCAAACAAGGATCGAAGAGGAATAAAGTTGAACAAGGTAGAAATTTTACAGGTTGAGCACTGAAAAGTGCTGTTTAAATTTGTTGTAGCTTTAGGTAGTAGCACGTAGTAGTACATCTAATTGAATCATCCTATAATGAACTTCTCTCTTCAAGCTACCAAGTATACATGCGCAAACTTGAATCCAACCTAATACAAATTCCGTCGATGTTCTGGAGGTATGTTAAAATGCAGTAGGCT